TCTGGGGCCTCTGGATAAGGGGGAGGTTCAGCCACACAGCACGGGGATGTTCCACCCCTCTGGTGTTGCTGGAGTAACAGTGTGGTGTGTTTCTGTGTTCCAGGGACAGCCCAGCCCTCAGGGACCAAACCCCAGCCCCATTCACCGTGGAAGCCACCAGGGAATCACAGCGTGGACCTCGGGCTGTGCTGCCACGCTGCTGCAGAGAAACTCCCACCAGGAGGGTGAAAGGAACAGGGAAGCAGGAGGAGGATGGCAGAAATGGTAATTAAGGCTGCCCATGGGCTCATAAGTTAAGCCACAAAGAATTCAGATCGTCAGGACTTAGCCACAACAGCGTGCTGGCCACTGGGAGCCCAGGGGATGAGGGGGGACAGGGCTGTGGCTTTATGGCCTGGGGGGAGATGAAGCTCCCCAACCAAACTGCATTTCCCATGGCCCCTCCACATGGCAGGAGGTCTGGCCGTGCTGCAGGCAGTTCTCTGTGTTTAGAAATGGGATGTTTCTTCTTTGAGCCACTGATTTGGTTCTGCCAGATGGCAAAATGATGTCTCTGTTCTCAGTCTGAAGTTAAATGCAGAAGAAATGTCCAGCATCATGTCTTTGGCCATTTCTGCTGCAGCGAAGGTAAAGAAAGGGTTAGACTTGCTCTAATTGCAAAATGCACCACCACAGAGGCGTAGGGAGACAGGGCAGACTAAGCAGCTTCCATCATCAGCCTATGTGAGACACAAGTCTCCATCCATGACCCTGTGGAGTTTCAAGGTCTCTTTATTCACTAATGGTTGAATCAAGGTAAATTCATTCTGTGAACACGCCAGAAAAGGAGCTTACAGATACCAAAACTCATGTGGTTTTTCTCCATGTGGTTCTCTTCTTTAGCACAGACGAGTGGTGGATGGATTGCAGAGAGGATCAGAGCAGAGAGGTCACACCAAACCTGCATGTAACCCTTTTCTGGGATTATTAGTTTCTGCTATTGTTCAGTAGCAGATGCTGAAAAGAAACTTTAAGCCCAGACTCCTCCTTTTGTCTGTATATGCACCAGCAACACAGAGACAACAGCACAGAAAATTGCCTTCCAACAGAGCACTGATGCCATCAGGGCTTGTGTGCTTAAAATCTGCTACTGAACTCAACTTTTTCTAACTTGTTTAAACCTTTTCTCATTCCATTTTTTATCTGCTCTGCCTCTGTAGTTGTTCCTGATAATTCCATTCTGCTTTATTATTTATTGCTCATTATTTAATGCACCTTCTCCAACTCCCCCAGGATTTAGAGCCTGCTCTCAGCACCAGCCTCTTGTCTCATTTCCAGCCTGATGAATCCTCCTCTCTTTAAGCTGCTTTACTGTGGGAGTTGCTCAGTACCCTGAGCACCTTTTCTGCTCTTTGCTGTTTTATTTTTGTTGGTTCTTTTTTCTCAATTTTAATACAATTGGAACCAGAGCAGAGGTGACCTCTAAGTCCCACCATCACCATAAAAGCATTCTGCAATTATTACTTTTTTTTTAAGGATGGACTTACCTGCAGGTTCTTCTCTGCTAGGGTGAAAAAAGCTGTTCTTGACCAAATAATTAAATAAGGAGCATAAAATTTCCTAGTGGAAGTGATGGTTTTGAGATGGGGAAGAAGATATACTGGAGAGGATGCTCAGATGATATATGGGGAATAGCACACCACTCCAAAAGAGCAATTTTGTCATGGAATCATGGAACCATGCAATTGCTAAGGTTGGAAAAGGCTGTTATGATCATCAGGTCCAACCATGAACCCACACCACCACATTCACCATGAGTCTGTGTCCTCAAGTGGCATCTCCACAGGAGTTTTGAACACTTCCAGGGATGGTGACTACACCATTTCACTGGGAATTCCATCCAAATGCTTTACAACCCTTTCATGAAATTTTTTTCTTAATGTATAATCTATTTTTTTTTTCCTAATGTACAGATGTACAGTCTCCCCTGGGGCAACTTGAGTCCATTTCCTCTTGTCACACCACTTGTTCCCTGGGAGAAGGGACTGACACTCACCTCACTAAAACATCCTTTCATCTGTTCATCTCCTTCCAACCTCCTTCCACCCCTACACCTCCTTCCACCTCCTTACCCACCTAGATCCATGTGGTTAAAATGCCAGCAGGATGCTGCAAGCAGTCTGGCGACCCAAATGCCATTTTTTCCCCCTTCTGCAGCTTTTTTTCTCCCAGCTGTCTATGTGACCTCTATTTCCACCCCACAGGAGCTGAGTCAGAAGTGCCCCCTGGTGAATGGCAGGGCTGCAGGCAGTCAGGACAGTGCCTGGACCCTTCCCAACTTGCCCAGTAAGTGCACATGGACAGCCACAACGCCTGCCAGCAAGTCTCCACACTCCTGTGTTCCCTTGTAAGTAATTCCTCCGTGCTGCTTTCTTCAGGGTGCAGCTCAGCACCTTTTCCTGAAGGTTGTTGTTACACCAGGATGGTCATGGCCAAAAGCCAGCTGTTGTGTTAATGATGGTTTATTTTCCACATGGCAAAAGCAGCTTAGTAGCTCCTCTCCCAGAAGACTTTTTTCACTCCCTTTTATTTTGCAGAAGGATGTGGCTGGCTCGACTCACAGCTCTGTGTTTTCCAGAGCATCTCCTTGTTTGGGGCATCTTATTTTAGATGGCTGAGAGGCCTTCACAAAAATGGATTACCAGGGCCTGGGCTTTTGTATCAGTAGCAAATGGCCCCAGAGCAGAGAAAAGTGCTTACTGTGAGCTGTTCTTGCCCTCACAGCAGCAGGTTCCCTCCCAGGGTGACGTGAGGGCCCAGACTAGTCCTGACAAGAAGTGCTTTAATGACTCTGCAAACCAGACACAGACAAGCTACTAAAGATAAGGCTGTCCCATAAATGTCACAGGAACTGCAGACACGTCCCTGCAGTGCAGAGATGTGAAACTGGGACCCAGCTCCAGCCAGTGGAGTAAAGCAGGAATCCAGCTCCAGGAACTGCTCTGCATGGTCATGCCTGACCATGTGCCAGGCAGGACAAGGCCAGGGCACAGCCACCAGCATGTGGGCAGCACAGGGCAGCCTCTGAGTCTGGCCCATGCAGGAGGGAAAAATGGAATGCAGAGCCCTGGAGCTGATCCAGCAAGCTGTGCATCTCTCAGTGCAACCCCTGCAGCTGGTGCCTGAGGAGAGAATCAGCTCTTTTCAGTCAAAATGATTTTTTTTTTCCTCAATTATCATTCTGAGCAGGATAATTTTTTTTTTTTTTTTAACAATTTATCTTCAGGGTGCCCTGGTGGTGCCAGTGACTGGGCCCATCCCACCCCCAGACAGGAGATGGAGAGACATTCCCCAGCCCTGGGCATCAAACACTGCTCTGGGAATGGAGTCTGGCTATGGGGGCCCACACAGCACTGCTGGGGCAGGAGCTGAAACATAACCCACTGTGTAGCAGGGAAAAAAATTCACTGGGACACGTCACACCTCTGCAGCAGGGCATGGAGGGAGAGGTGGTTTGGTTTCCCTGCTCTGGGTAAGCCACAGATGGCAACCAATGGAGCAAAAATCTCTGGACTTTCTGAGATTCCCAGGTGAAATCTGATTGAGTTTTGGGGGTAGAAGCAGAGGGAGGAGACAGGATGTTATTTTAATTAATATTAAATATTTAATTTTTTTTTTGAAAGATACAGAGGTAGACCAGTTCTGACGTCCCTCGAGCTGGTTCTGACCCAACATAACCTCAACAGGAATCCTTTGCTTTGCCAGGACTGGTTTTCCCCTGGACATCTCAAGGAATAGCAAGCCATGACTAAAAACTGGAATCTTAGGGGAAAACCATCCTTGTCTGCTGTCCTGAATTGACATCAGCACCTGCAGGATGCATTCCAGATGTGCAATGCAGTAACTCAAGAGAGCCAGGCTCCAGTTAAATCTTACCTGAAGGAGCCCCACTGAAATCCCTGAGCATTTCAGTGGCTTTTGGAGCAGATGGGCAATGGCTGCAGCTGTGAGGGAAGCTCATTTATTGTGGTATTGCCTCACATTTGGCAGCACTCAAAGGAGCCTGAGGTGTCTCTGCAGACACTTCCCCCAGAGGGAGAGGTAACAGCACATCCCATCATTTCTGGGCTAGGAATGCAGGGAGGCTGGAACCTCTTGGTAGTACAGACCTTCACAGAAGCCCTGTACTCCTGCAGGGCAGGAGGTGTTTATATCACACTTGCAGAACCTGGAGGGAGGGGTGTGAGGTCCCTGAGTCACCTCTGCGCCACTCAGGCTTCCTGCCAGCACACAGCCACTGCCTGGCCGTGACAGGGACAGCACAGCTCCAGTTCAGGGCTGCAGGGATGGTGGGAGGCGAGGGATGTGCACAGCAGAGCTGAGCACTGAGGGAACGGGGCGTTGGCACCCCATGGCAAGGAGATGTCCTTGGCTTGTGACCAGGAGGTGGCCCAAACAAACACAGCCCTCATCAATCTGTGGAGAGCTCGAGGGTGTGAGTTCCTTGGCAAGATGGCTTGGGCAAACAGGTCTGTTTCTGTTGCTGTTGCTGTGGGTTTTGGCTTCTGCTGGAGTCTGAGAGCGACTGGCCAGTCTGGGCAGCTGGATTTCACTGGGCAGCTGGGTTCAACTGTTTGCAAAACACCCCCCAGAACCCTCTGAGGTTTGGGCTTCTCTCATGGCTTGGAGACATCCTTGCAAGTTTGGCAGTCCTGGCCAGCAACACTTGGCCCAGAGGCAGCTGGAAATGTGGGGAGCAGAGATGGGGCTGGGCAGGATGGGGAAAAGATGGGGAGCCTCGTGCTGTGTCTCCTGCTTTTCTCACCTACAGCGTAAAATCCAAAGGCTTGTAAGCATCTTTTCACTCATTACAGATCTGGCCTAGGGTTTTGCAGAGCAAGGCATTGTCACCCTGATTTTTTAAGTTTTTCTAAGCCTTCTGATGTTTACATTCTTGTAACGAACTTTCGCACACACTTTATGTAAATAACTTATTGTTTTGCATTCTTTTATGGAAAAAGAGAAATTTGATAGGCTGTTGGTTTGTCCAGTGTCATTGGAGAGGTGGCACTGTCACCCTCAAATCCATTGTCACTTTTGGAAATCTATAAATATTGGAGTCAGAAATTAAAAGTACTCTTTTTACCTTGGGAGAGCTGCGTGTCTGCGTCATGTTATTTCGTGTCCTATAGTGACAAGGCATTTCTGAGCAATCCTGAAAATTAATTAGCTTACTTTTTATGTAAAAGACCTAATAACTCATGATGGAGAACTGTAACTAACTCCTGGTGCCACTAATTCTTTTTCTCTTGGAGTTGGGGTGTCTTTTGGTGGCCTTGATAAAGTTGCTGAAACCTCACTCAGATTTTCTCTTGATTCATGTTGCACAACAATAGCTTTTATTTGACTTTATTTTTTCCTGCATTATTTCAGGAGAGAAGAAAAGAAGATCTTGCCCAATATCCTCAAGAAAATTGGCTGCACCCCAATGGTCCAAATCAACAAGATTGGGAAGTCCTATGGGCTCAAGTGTGAGCTCTGTGAGTGTCCCCTTCCCACCAGGTTTTTGCATGCCACGAGGTGAGGGTGAGGGGTGGTGCTGGAGGGGCTTCAGAGAGGAACAGAGATGGGGAGGGGCAGGTGTGGCTCATGTTGGGCTCTCCTGCTTATTAGGCAGTAATTTCTTGGGCCAAACAGGTGATTTCAAGCAGCAGTGAGCAGGGGGGCAGTGGTAGTGAGGCATTTCTCCTGCCAGGTAACAGCAGCATGAGCTCCGAGCAGAGCTGGCCTAAATCTGGGGATGGATCTAAGTCCTCTCCCTAAGGAGATTTTAGCTGGTGCTGTGTCATGTCAGGCTTGGCTTTAGGCTGTCACCCTACAGTCACAAGGGTGATAAGCTCAGATCTGTGCATGTGGAATTTTCAGTCTCCTTTCCTATAACTCCTAATCCTAATAATCCAAACTGGGCAGAAAGGCAGATTCTGAGAGGCAGAAAGTGCCACGAGTGTCACACAGCTGGGTAAGGAGAGACCTTCTGAGCACCCATCCTTACTGCAATGGCACAGCAGAGCCCTGCAGTGCTGTGTGGCACCTGGGAACCCTCGGGGCAGCCAGACCCCACTGAGCACATGGACACAGGGAGCACCCTGGGCTTTCCCACCTGATCCCTTCTTAGGATCTGGGATCCTTGGGCCACCAGCCCTGCAACCTCCACACTGCACTGCCTCACCCTGCTCACAATGAGAGCTGAGGGACACAGGAGACCATGGAAGGAGCTGCTGGAGGTGGGAGGACAGATGTGCAGTGCCTGGAGCAGCTCTGGAGCAGCCTGTCCCTTGCAGGATGTCTGGCTGGTGCTTCAGGTGCTGGGAAAGCCGGGCAGATCCCATTTTCTGGGATGGTGTCTCCCTCCCCTGGCACAGGAGGGGAAGGAAAGCAGAACAGGCAGAGCAGCTGCACAGTCCTGTCTGTGTCAGCACAGAGCCCCTTCCCAGGCAAACACAGGAATAAAAGGAAGCAGCTACAGCTGGACAGGAGTGCCTGGTGTCTTCTGTGCCCCCAGGGACCCTTGTGCAGCTGGAGTTGTGGCACTTTGCGTTATAAAATGTAATGATGAGCACGAGATTTCCTTTCCCGTTCAGGCTGCTCGGGTACAGGGCTGATTTCTCAGCCTCAGGTCGCTGTCTCTGCCAGGGTGAAAGGAAAGACCCCCTGGAAATCCCCATTTCTCCATGTTGTTCATAAAACAGAGCTCAGTGGCACCAGTTCAGTTGCAGATGTTCATCAAAGCCTTGGTAAGAAGAATCCTGTGGTGTGGAGGCCCCAGTGAGGACTGAGATGTGCCTTGGAAAGTGACTTGGCTTATTGCTAGCTCAGTGAAAGAAACTGTCATTTGGCCTGGCACCTGAAAATGTTCTTTCTATTGTTTGGGTTTTTTTTACGGCACCTCAGTCAGGACTATGGATCATCCCTGCAAAAGGGGAGCTTTTTAGATATCTATTAAAAACCTCAGTGCCCCAGGATAGACAGTGAGACCTTGCTGCTATCCCTGGCCCACAGAAGAGTCCTCAAGGAGTGTTGCACCAGTGTGGGACCTCCCACCCTGCAATGACCATGTCCAGCTGATTTTTAACCCATCCTGGGCTGTCCAGGTTGGCTTCAAACCCATCCAGGGTGGAGGAAACATGGGGGAAAGAAGGACTCTGATGGAAAATCCCAAAAATGCAAATGGGGGATGCATTCCCCTCAGCAAAGGACAGTCCTGCAGAGGAGGAAGAGGTGTCCTAACACTGCAGTGAGGCCAGGGGGAGAAAGGAGCAGGTGCCTGATGGAGTGTCCCCTTTGTTTCCCTTTCCAGTGGCCAAGTGTGAGTACTTCAATGCAGGGGGCAGCGTGAAGGACCGCATCAGCCTCAGGATGGTGGAGGATGCAGAGAGAGCTGGGATTATCAAACCAGGAGACACCTTGATTGAACCCACTTCAGGAAACACAGGTGGGAAGGGCAGTGATGCTTCCTCTGCCTGGGAACTGGGCAGGGTGGAATTTCTGAGGAGCAGGGATTTGCATTTGGAGTTACGAGGTGGGCTCTGGCTCCATCCTCCCCTCAGCTCCCCTCCTGGTGGCCATGGGCTTCCTGGGATGCTGAGGTGCCTCCTTGCTGAAATTCCTGAGGGTTCTGTGAGGGTCCCACACCTTCCAGGTGTGCCTGGAAGGTCTCCTTGTGGCAAGGCAGACAGCATCAGGGGCTGGGGCAACCCTGGGTGTTTTCAGGCTGGGAAGCTTTTGAATTCTCAGAGGTTCCCAGAGACCATTCCCCTGCTGGGTTGGAAGAGAATTCCTGTGATTTTTGCCCTTGTCACTGTCACTTGTCACCCCACCACACTGAGTCACCCCAGCCGCCCCCAGCCACGGAGCCAAGGGGATCTGTGCTCCCCCAGAGCTGTGTCCCACGTGGGTCACACTGGCTCCCTGCCTGTCTGGGGGCAGCTAGAATGGCACCAGACTCCCTGCAGCCCCAGGCAGGGACACGCTGCTCCTTCCTGCTGCCTCACCTTCCTGCTCTAGCAGGGAGCAGCTGGCTCCATCCATCACCCTGCTGAAACTGGAGCAGAGGTGCCCTTGGCCTGCCAGCCATGGAGTGACATGCTGCGTCCTGTGTGTCTGTCCCCCCACAACTGAAGGGGAGGGGAAGGCACTCCTGAAGCACAATCAGCTCTCTCCTGTGTTTCCAAAACCACAGGAAGGAGGCTGAGCCTCGGTGAGGGGAGAAAAGCTCTCCCCAGCCCTGCCATTCTCTCCGTGCCACCCCTGGGAGCAGGAGCGATGCTGCACCTCCACTTGCCCGTCAGCCCATCCTCCCACACTCCCTGGTGCTCCCAGCACATCCCAGGAGGCTCGTGGGGGATGCCCTCACCCGTGGCTGGTCAGTGGCCACTCCTTGGTTCCATCCAGAGAGGAGCGCGGGCAGCGGCGCCCATCCGTCGCTCTTGCCAAATTCTGGTGCCAACCAATTCCCTCTGCTCCCATGCAGGGATTGGGCTGGCACTGGTGGCTGCATTGAAGGGTTACCGCTGCATCATCGTCCTACCAGAGAAAATGAGCATGGAGAAGGTCAGAGCTCTGTATGGTTTTACCCCACAGCTGGGGAACATCTCCTTCCTCTCTCTCTCTCTCTGCTTCTCCCTCCCTGGAGCACTTTAAAAGCCAATGAGCCTTGCACACCCACTGCCACCAGCTGCTGTTCAGAAAGTTGCCTCTTGAGGGGAATAAAGGCAGCCTGTGATGGCCTGGTGGCTGTCTGGTGTCAGAAGTGCAGCTGGGATAGCCAAACACAGTGTGTGGGTGCAGAGAAACAGAGCAGCATCTGCTGCATGTGGAGCACAGCAGGAGAGGCAGGCAGGTGCCAGGGCTGTCCTGCCAGTCCTGCTCACTTCCCCCCTGACATCTGACAGGTCACTTGGCCTCACTGTGCATTTATGGCTTTCTTTCACCTGGGGACACTTAGAGTTGCCTGAGCTGTTTCTCAGGGTGGTGTCTCAAGTCACTTGCATGAGAGCTGATGGTCTGGTGAACACACCGTCCTGGAGATGGCAGAAATCCCTCACTGCTGAGCCAAGAGCCTCACAGACAGCTGAACTCATGCCAGTGAAGCCAGACACGCACCCTGAGCTGGCTCAAGAATGAGCCCTTCTCCAAAGTGTCATCCTCAATTCAACCTAAATCTCACCCAAGCTCAGTCTGGGTCAGATGCCACCTCCAGCTGCCATGGGCTTCATCTCCACGTGTCCCAACACTCCCCTTTCCCACTGACAGACCCATCTCCCAGAGGAGACACCCTAGGGCTGATTGCTCCTTCCCTGATTTTGGTGAGAGAAGAGAAGGGACTTAGGGCAAAATCAGCTTTTGATCTCCCCTTTGCATGCTGGGGCTCCAGTCCCAGCACAGGAGACACTGTTCCCTGTCCAGTTCCCTCTGCCCTTTTCCTCTGGCACCAAGGAGCAGCACACTGTCACCTCCCTCCACCCTGTCCCCAGCCTGCCCTCCAAGTGGGACAGGGCAAGAAGCCAGGCTCAAATCCATGTGCCAGCTTCAGGCAGGAGCCCTGGGCTGCTGGAGCATGTCAGAGATAGCAGAGTCCAGAGCTGGACATTGTATCTCCACAGGATAAATGTCTCCCACATGCAAAGCTGCTCTGGCATCTGGCGCTGCCCTGAGCCCGCAGGTTCGGGTTACCATCCCTGTGTGGGATCAGCTGTGCTGCAGCTCCTCTTGTCCCTCCCAAAGGTCAATATTCTGAAGGCACTGGGTGCTGAAATCGTGAGGACGCCGTGCACTCGCTTTGATGCCCCCGAGTCCAACATCCGTGTGGCCTGGAAGCTGAAAAGTGAAATCCCAAACGCTTACATCCTGGACCAGGTAAAGGCCGTCCCTCCACTGGCTCCCTTTCCCAAGAGAGTTTATAGGGTGTTCTCCAAGAGTGCCTCTGTTTGGGGGCTCCATTAGAACTGGCACCAGAGGCAGATTTCGTCAGTGTTTTATGGCATTTGAAACTTAATCACTCTGCAAAGCACAGGGGGACAGAAACAAAATAAGGGGCACTTCCAAACCTGCAACACTTCTGCCAAAGCCTGGGTGTGGGTGAGGCTGGGTTTTCTTGCACAGTTCAAAGACAACTCAAATTGGTTCAGATTTAACTTAGACCTGAAAAAAAACCCCACTTTTTAAGCCTAGCTAGCAGCCTCTGTTCTGCCTCAAAAATAAACCTCATGCTGTAAAGGGCAAACCCTGGTGACTCATGCCAGAGGTTCCTGCAGTGCTGGGTCTTGGACAGGAGGACACTTGGTCTGAGCCCTGAGTGAGGAGGCCCTGGAGTGCAGAAAGTCAGGCGAGCTCCTTCCTTCTGAGAAAAAAAGTAGCTCAAAGACTGGATGAGCTTTTCAGCTCATTTTTGGTCCACGGGTGTGAACGTGGGGTGCACAAATATCAGTGCTGCAAAATCCCTCTTGTGCACGAGAGCTGATTGATGATCAGGAAGCTTCTCCAGCTCACAGTCCCCAGCCTCTGAACCATCCCCACACCTAAGGGGCACCAAGTGCTGGAGAGGGAGTGTTTGTGGGCACATTTAACCTCCCAGTGTGGAAAAACCCCAGGTGGGCCTGGAAATCTGTGCCAAAGGGACAAACAGGAGGAACACCCGTGACCTGTCCTGGTGGGGTGGCAGTGTCCCCCTCGGCAGGGAGAGGAGGGGGAAGCTGCATGCTCTGGGTACAGCTCTGTCAGGAGCTGTGTCTGGTTTGGTATTTGCCCTGCTCTTCACACGGTAACTGCTGCTGTTCTCTGCTGGAATAAACAGTACCGAAACCCGAGCAACCCCCTGGCTCATTACGACACCACGGCCGAGGAGATCCTGGAGCAGTGTGAAGGTACTGTCTGTGCTGCTGCCTCGACGTGCAGGGGGCTGTAACCCTCTCTGAGAGGCTTCATTTACATCATTTATTGACCCGAATGTCTAGAAACAGCCCAAAGGGCCTCTGGAGGGGCCGACAGTATTATCTTAATAACACTGACACACAGGGTGTAGCAACCTCTCCTAATCCACTCCAGATCCACCTCAGCCTGCAGGGCTTCCCGGCTCTCCCCTCCCATTGCAAAAGCCTGGGGGGAGACCATAGGCTTAGGAAACTGAGGTTGTACCTAAAGGAGAAAGAACATGTCTCTTGGTGGCCACACCAGCTCTGTGACCTGCCAGCCGGGAACACAAGAGGTCCCACGAGGCCTTGGAGGGGAATATAAATCCACCAGGGCATGGCAAGGCTGCATCTAATCCAGCACTCTCATTTTCAAATCAAGACCTCACAAACGAGTGCCACTGGAAGTGAGGGCTGGGGGAGGATAAAGGGCTGTCCCAGTCCATGTTTGTGCAGATAGAAGTGAAATTTATTGCCAGTTCTGGGAGCACTGTGAAGCGTGACCAGGACTTGAGGGTTTTAACTGGACAGCAGTTATCAGAGCAGTAAAGAGTCAGCTATCAATGGCAGCAAGAGAGTCCCAGCCTTGCCTCCTCTGCAGTGTCAGGGTTTGCTCCAGCTGGCTGCCAGCTGTGGGTTGCAGGTCCCCCTTTCCCAGTGCAGCTGCAGCGTCAGGTTTTGAAGGTCAGACTCCAATTCTGCTCCTTCCAGTCCTAAATCTGTATAATTTCAGTCATGCCAGTGGGATTGCATCTCACAGAGGTGCCAGGGCAGAGCTCAGCCCTCCCTCCACTGTGGATGCCAACACAGGCTGAAAGGTTGTGCCTGTTAGTGATATTCACATGTGTGACCTGCTTTGATATGCTGTGGTTTGAAAAGGGTGGGTGTGCTGAGATATTCCCTCCTCCTTAAGCCACAGAATCACAGAATATCCTGAGTTGGAGAGGACCCACAAGGATCATCAAAGTCCAACTTGTGGTCCTGCACAGGACACCTAAAAAGTCACACCATGTGCCTGAGAGCATTGTCCAAACACTCCTTGAGCTCTGCCAGGCTGGTGCTGTGACCACTGCTCTGGGGAGCCTGTTCAGTGCCCAGCCACCCTCTATGGAAGAACCTTTCCCTAATACCCAACTTAAACCTGCCCTGACACATCTTCATGCCGTTCCCTCAGCTCAGTAGAAGCCAAAGATGCAGAAATCATGGAGAGCTGCAGAGGGAGATCTGGAGGTCACCTTCAGCTCCCTGCAGTGAGGCAGGACCAGCTGTGCTCAGGTCCTGCAAGCTCATCTGAGCTCCTGCACAGGACCAGGCTTTGGCCACCAGCATGGCCTCTGCCTGACCTTTGCTCACAGGGGTTCTGCTGGACACAGGCTCTGCATCTGCACAGGGCTCTGCCTAAAGGAGAGATCGTGCTGGGGGCTGTGCTGAGCCCTTGCAAACCTCTCTGCCCCCTGATCTGCAGGCAAGGTGCACATGGTGGTGATTGGGTCTGGCACAGGAGGAACCATCACTGGTGTCGCCAGGAAGCTGAAGGAGAAGTGCCCGGAGTGCAAGGTAAGGCTGGAGGCAGGACTGCTGGGGTTTTCATGGAATCACAGAGGGGTTTGGGCTGGAAAGGACATTAGGGATCATCCCATTCCACCCTCCTACCATCAGCAGGGACACCTTCCACCATACCAGGTTGCTCAGAGCTGGCCTTGAACAATTCCAGGGATGGGGCACCCACAACTTCCCTGGGCAACCTGTGCCAGGGCCTCACCACCCTTACAATAAGAGATTTCTTCCTATTACCCAGTATAAATCTACCCTCCTTCAGCTCAAAGCCATTCCCCCTTGTCCCGTCTCTGCATGTCATTTCCTGCCTAACCCCAGGCTCACCTGAGGAAGTAGTTGCTGTCTGCACTAATTTGTTTGTTCACAGCAATGTGGCTTCTGTGGGAAGAAATTTGGTGATGTTTAGGCTGATCTAGACCCATCCAAGTGCCTTAGAGACCAAAGTTTCCACAGCCCCACTAAAATCTACCCCTGCCTGGTGCCTTGCCCTGTGCAGGACACTCTGGTGAGGCACAGACAGCAAATGCTTCTCCTCTGCCACTGCAAAACCCTCTGTGCTTTAGGGGTAGCATCACTCACGATGCTCATCCTGCAGAGCTCGTGCTTCAAGGCAGACTGGAGGTGTGCACAGACTGGTCTGGTCAGTGTGTGAGTGATCCCAGATCCCCAGAGAGGTGTGGACCCACCACTGGAGGTCTGGGACGTGAGGCTGCCTCGCTGGCAGCGTGCAGCTGCGTGTGCAGTGTCACCATCCCTCCTTAAGCTGCGTGCTGAGGAGACACCTCAGCCCAGACACAAGGCTGTGAATAACCAGGGCACCATCAGCCAGCACAGCTAGATCCAGAAAGGATGTCTGTATCCACAGGTCTCCACAGGTTGGAGCTCACTGGCTGGCTTCACCTAGAGCAGATTAAGGAGCTCTGGCACTGTCCTCAGGGTTGGGCTTTGGAAGGGGCAGGCTCTGCCAAGGGGGTGATGACAAACACCTTGAGAGTGATAACATTTTAAGCCACCAGTCACTTCTGCAACAGCTGAAGACTACCTAGGATCTATTTAAGACAGTGAAAAACAGCACCCTTTTATCCTGGAAGCTCTCCATGCTGCCAGTCATTAGGAATATTAATGAATACCAGGGGGAGGAAACACTGCTGCTGAGGGTGTGGGTAACTTTTCCTTTGAGTTTTGAGTTTGGCTGTTTCTGAATTCCCATTTTGGTTTGACAAAATGCCTTTCCCTCCAAGATCATTGGCGTGGACCCCGACGGCTCCATCGTCGCTCTGCCCAGTGAGATGAACAAGAGCAACACCACAACCATCGAGGTGGAGGGCATTGGGCACGACTTCATCCCCACTGTCCTCGACAGATCCGTGAGTAACCCTGTGAGAAGGGGCCCCTGCCTGCTCTCTGCCTTGGCATACAGCTGTCAAGACTACTCAGTGCAAATTTCCAACCACCCAGTGCAAAAAAACAGCTAAATAAATTATTTAGTGCACTACAACATCCAGCCTGCTCCCAAGGCCAGAGGTGTGGTGGCCCTGATGTATCTTCCCAGTGCAGAACAAGCTGTTGTGGGGGGATTGGGACACCCAGTTACTTTCTGAGTAACTCTGATTATAACTGACTGTAGTGGTTTTGGTTTGTTAATTTAAGATTTCCTCAATTTTAAAATTTCCCGGCTAATGCACCAAAGAGTGTGGTAGGTTTTGGTGCTGATCAATCACTAATGCATTCACTTCCTGCAGTGAGATAGGATTAGGAGAAAGGAAAAGCAGGCTCAAAACTTTAAAAGGGTATAAAGAAAATTTTATTAAAAGTAATTAAAAGAAAGAAAAAAGTAGTAAGAATCAAAACAAACCCTTCAGAACACTTCTTCTCCCCCCCAACCTTTTCTTTCTCACTGATAACGTAAAGAAACAAAACCTAAAATTGCCAGTCAGTTTCTACCTTTAAAATTGTCTTTCTTCAGTTCACTTAGGGAGAGAAGTCCCTCTTGTTAAGGTTATGGAGACTTCTCCACAAGAGGAAAAAGACACTGTGTCTTTCACAGAAGAGTGTCCAGCTTCTCAGTGGCTCAACAAACTCAGTTACACAAAAAGCTTTTGTCTCACTTCCCTAAATTCCTCCCATGTCAAACTACGACACTGACCCACAAGGAGAAGGCAAATAGAGGTGAAAAGCAGGCATTTAACAAGTGTGAGTGTCCTCTGCTCAGCCTCACCATGGTTCAGATGTGTCCCTTTGGCTCTGATCACACAGATGTCTGTGCTGAGGCTGCTCCTCATCACACTGCTCTTTCCTGAGCCTCCTCTGCCTCAGGCAGCACACACAGAGAGCAGAAATCCTGCATCATGCACAGGCTGGACAACAAGATCCAAGTAAGACAGCAGATCATGAACCTTGCAGCTCTTCTTGTCAAGTTCCCTCTCAGTATCAGCTGCCACAGAGCTTTAAATCCCTAACACAGGCTGCTTGTGTTGCCCTGGCCTCCTTCTAGAAAGGTCCCTCACAGCCTCACACCCCAGATTCTTTCTGCTTCCAGGTGTTAACTACATCCCTGCTGTCAGCACCTGGCTGTAGAGCTGTCACCTTAATAATCTTGACTGATCCTTGTAGCTGGATCTCATTTTGGCAAAATCTCAACCATTAATGTAGCGTGGCCTGGGACATCGTAAATATTCCTCCACATCCAAACTCTGGACCTGTTAGGCATCCCTAACTCTCTGAGGAAAGGGTGCTGCCTGGAAAGGTGTGGGTGTCTGCAAGCAAGAACTCCAGACCATGGATGTTCTGACAAATGCTTTCAACAAGTGTGGAAGGCAGCTCAGAGCTGCCAGATGTTGTGGGCATCAGCACCATGGTGTGCCTCAGAGGGTCAGGGCAGCCTGAAATGACATTGCCAAGACTCATCCTCCTTGCTTCCCTTCCAGGTGGTGGATCAGTGGTACAAAAGCAACGACAGAGACTCGTTCCTCATGTCCCGCAGGCTGATCAGAGAGGAGGGGTTGTTGTGTGGTAAGCACAGTGCAGCCACAGCAGTTTGTTCCCTTAACAAACCTTCTGAACCTCATCCTTTTGGGACCAAAACTCTCCAGAGTAGGTGCCCTCTGCATTTTGTGTCTGCTGGGTCAGCAGGGCTGAAAGGCTGAGCCTCGGGCTGGGCAGAGGTCACTGCAGGCTCCAGAGGTGTGTCCCTGCGTCTGGTCTGGGCTCTGACTCATCAGCCACAGTAATTATAGAAGTAATAATTCTCTCCTTACTGGAGTGCTTTTGCAGTGGAACTGGATCTTCAGGCAGTGTAGAGTTACACAGGCTGAAGGGAGGATTAGTGGGGCTCGGGGCAGGACAGGTGGGCTGTCCAACAGCTCTGTGAGGCCGTGCTCAGTGTCACTGCCACACCAGAGGTGCCAGCTCTGGACCAGGAAGGTCTGAAATCAAAGAAAGTGTGAGATGTTCTTACTGAGTATTTCTCCCCGTGCCAACAAGCTGTAAGTGATCCCACTGGCTTCCCAAAATGAACAGGTGCCCTCACACAGACCCTGCCTGTACCCTCAGAGCCTCCACAGAGCATCAGCCTTGTTTCCAGCCTTCCCTGACACCAAGCAAACAGACACAGGTTTGCATCCAGGAGCAGACACTACGTAGGTTCGTAGCTACAGCTGATAAAAGCCCTGAGCACTCATATCCAGGGAGTTTTGCAAAAGATCAGGCTATATATATGTAATGAAACACTTAAATGTTGATTTAACCTAGCAGGCACGGAGTCACTGTGTTTCAACAGAAACCACTTGTTTGAACTCAGCCATAATTTGTGAACAGCTTCGTGTTCCCTGAACTGCATTTCTCAGGGCCGTTCCTCGCTTGTTTGAAAAATGTGACCCAGGGATAATTAACCTGCTGTAAAATACGTGCTGCCTTGAATGCAGTGTGTAATTGGCACACAGATAGTGGAATGTGTTTGACTTCCAGTACTCAGACTGGTGGTGGAAGAATTGCCTCTGTAAAGCAGGGACCTGCTTGCCCTACGTGCAGCAAACCACATGCGTGCACACAGACACGGGGAGCATTCAAGCCTTCCCATCATGTTGGCCTGGTATTCCAAGCATGAATGAAATGTTTATGGGGTTTTTTTTCAGTCTTTACAGTGCATTTAAAGCCAGTCTTTGGCTGCCAAGTATGTCAGCCAGAAGCTCTAGAACTGGCGTGGTGTTCTGCTGGTGGGAAGGGAGGGTGTGGTGTGGGCAGCGTGTTCTGAATGTCCCTGCATGGGACCACTCAGACCTTGGTCTGCCCACAAGAAATGGTTCATGAAGTCCTTGAGGCGACTTTCATGCTGCCTCCAAAGCCCAAGAGCCACCACATGAACACATCCCATCAGTCCCCACCTCTGCCTGGCCCTAAAGCCTACAAGGCTTTGGGATTGATTGTCCGCCCATCCCAGTGTCCCTCCCACGAGGTGCCACCTCTGCACCCTTATCTGGGGCAGCCTGTGCTTCCCACTGCAGGACAGTGGCTCTGGGCAGCCCTGACCCTTGTCTCCCTCTCCTTGGTGCCCACACAGGTGGCAGCTCAGGCAGTGCCATGTCTGTGGCTGTGAGAGCTGCCAAGGACTTGCAGGAAGGCCAGCGCTGCGTTGTCATCCTGCCCGACTCCGTCCGCAACTACATGTGAGTGTCCTGCTTCCTGCCCCGCTTCCCAGCACCAGGACGGCAGCTCCCATGGCCTCCTGTGACAGGAGATGAGCCAGGTGCTTGGGGTTCTGGAGAGCCACCCCAATAAATCTGACAGCAAGGCACAAGGAGTGAGCCCAGAGCTGGAAGTCTCACTTGGGCAGATCACGGGGAAAAAGCAAAATAAACAACAGGGAGGAACAGCACAGCAGCGTGGCAGTCACCAGAGGATGGGTGTTGGGACACTTGGGGTTTATTTCCTCTCATCTCTGACTCACTGCACGGAGCAGGACTCAGCCAAGCTGTGCTTTCTGAGCGTGCATGCCTAAAGTTAGGAAGGCAAATAGCTGGCGTGCTTCGAAGAGTTACTGAGCACCCGATGCTCCTGCTGACCTTAAAAGGGGCTGAGAGCAGCCAGCTGCAAAAATCATGAGAGCCCCAGGGGCAGTGCTGTGGTCTGATGCACGAAACAAAGCATGACTTCTTCTGGGAGCCTCACAGACTTGCTCTTTGTTGGTGATTTCTAGGTCCAAATTTGTGAATGATACATGGATGATAAAAAATGGGTTCCTAAATGACGCCCAGGAGCACAAGCCTTGGTAAGACAACTTCTGCTGGAATAAACTGTGCTAAGGGAATCAGCTTTCTGAGTCTGGAAATCATTATCTTCAAAGGAAAATGTTCCCTTTTAGTGTTTAGCAAAAACACAGTAAAGTCCCGACCTCTCTGGGGAGGCTGTAATGTCAGCTCCTCTCTTTTGAGTTGTTATCTCTCAGCCCTCCAATCAAAGTCTATAAAGGAGCCATTTCTGTCCCAAAGTAGCTGATCCACTCCCACGTGGCAGCCCAGGCCACCTAAACCCTCTGAAAACCTCTCTCCATTCCACATCTGATGTTCAAAGGACCATCAGGCTGCTGGGGAGGTGGGTCCCTGTTGTAGCAAGCCCCCTTTCAAACAGCTCTGCAGCTCTTTTCAGGCATAAAACAGGAAATTTTCACCTTCCAGAGCTGCTGGCCAGAAAAGCTGGCCAACTCTGCTGTCCCTTGGACACCATGAGGAAAGAGTCCCCTCAGGGAGTCACAGGCAAACTGCTGATGCCAGCTGATGTGTGGCTGGGCAAATGCCAGTTGTTTAGAAAAGCTCTTGGTCTCACCCTAAAGACAGCAGGTATTACTGATGTCGCCTTCTCTTTTACCAAAAATTATTGTAAAATATTTCCTAAAAACTTAACACATTTCCAAGGCCTCTTGTGTCTGGTTAGAGTTGCTCTTGGCCCTTCCAGGCTCCAGCATTGCCCTGCCTTTTCTGCAAGGACTCAGGGCTGAGATGTTTGGGAGCTGCTCGTGTTCCCCCACAAACAAGCTCAGCTTGTCCCTCATAAGTCACACGAGCATCTCTGCGAGGCTCTCTCCTGCAGGAGCTGCAAATGCTACCTTGTGAGGACCAAGGATACAGAACAAAGGAGTAAAACTGGTAGGTCACCCATTTATGAGCTTGAAGTGAAGCCCTCAATAGCTTCCTTGGATTCAGGACAGCTCAGCACCTTGCCAGCTGCTGGTCTCATCCCTGCCTCTGGAGCTGCATGAAAGCTTGGCTTCAACAAGACCTGGCCGTGGTGGCATTTCTGCTTTGGCTGTAGGAGTGGGGCTGGCTTTTCAGGCAGAAATAAATCCCTCATCTCCTCTGGCCTTGCCCCCTGCTGAAGGCCACAGCTGTGCAGCAGCCACAGCTCGGCGCTGCCATTTGTCTTCCAACAGGTGGTGGAACATCAAGGTGCAGAAACTGAATGTCTCGGCCCCTCTCATCCTCCTCCCCGAAGTCAGCTGTCAAAAGGCAATTGAGATCCTCCAGGAGAAGGGATATGACCAAGCTCCTGTTGTTGCTGAGTCAGGGTAACTATTTCTGCTCACTGCACAGACAGGCATTCGTACAGAAAAATCAGTCGTGATGAAGCTAAAGTCCCATTTACTCATTCAGAGCTGGGGCTCTTGTGTTGGACTCTGATGCATAATTTTAAAAAGATCATCTGCCTCCTAGTGAAGATTCATCAATAAAACTCCTGTAAAAGATCCAATTAAAGCCCAATCCAGTGCCCACCAAACCAGAAGATGCTGGATCAGTGCACAGGCAAGGGGAGCCCAGGGGAGTGAGAGCTGGGGGGAAACCCTCACAAATAAGCAGCTGGAGAGCCCATGGATTTTCCTTCTCCCAGCTGCTAAGTCCTGGACTGCAACAGCAGATTTTAACTGCTGTGAAACCAACAGCTTGGTGAGGACAAAGACTCCTTGTGCTGCTCAAGTGAGGAGAAACCTGGTGCCTCCCACTGACTGCAGCAACAATTTAGTCACTGACTTCAACCAGAGCAGCTCAGCCCCTACATAAAATGTGTGTTCTACCTCAGGTCTGACCTTCTGGAAAACTCCCTGTTCCCTTACAGGCTTATTTTGGGAATGGTGACCCTCAGCAACACCCTGAGCTCCATGCTGGATGGAAACGTGGAGTCCTCAGACCCTGTCACCAAGGTCACCTACGACCAGTTCTCCAAGGTACCACAGGGGCTGGGCTGTGTCAGCCTGTCTGGGCACAGGGAGACAGGGAGAGGTGCACCAGCAGCACCCTGGGTTGTGAGAGGAGCTGGGAGAAGAGGCTGGTGAGAAGGCAGAGAGGAGTGGGGAGGGCCATGGTGACATCTTGGAGATGAGAGTAAGGATAAGCACCTCTACAAGCCCTGCAGAGCCAGCAGGGCTCAGATATGGGAGCTTTTCACACCAGGAGCCAAGAACTGACAGAGGATTTCATCCAGCTGGGGAATCAGCACCCTCCAAAATCAGAGCTCAGCCATTGCAAGGTGAAGTAAAACGTTAAAAGTTACATTTTGCCCTGTTTAGATCAGCCTGGAGGACAGCCTTGGGAAGCTTTCCTGCATCCTGGAGAACGACCACTTTGCTATCGTTGTACACGAGCAGACGCAGTGTAGGTATCTGCAGAAACTCCCCAGGGGCTTGGCACAAGTGTTTGAGAGGGGAGAGGGAAATTCTCAAGCTGACTGTGGCAGGTGCCAGTGCAGCTGCTGCACCTGTGCAGCCCCTGAGTCTCTGCCCCACGAGGGGATTCTGCTCTGCACAGCCCTGGGACTGCCCACTCCTCACCCATGTCTGACACCACAGGGGTGAGGGGAGAGGGGCAAAGCTAGCAAGGGGGAAAATAGGGATCTCTCTAGGCTTCTGTAGCCCAGGGGCAAGGTCAGAAGGAACATTTGGCCACATCAGGTAAAGCCTGGGTGGAATTCAGGCACCTAAGATGAGAAAGCTGAGCAGAACTGGGGTGGGCCATGAGCAAGCCCTGTGGCACAGGTCATCAGGGGCACTGGTTGTAGCCTGGGGCAGCTGTGTGTGAGCCTTCCCTGGACTGTAGGGATGCTGTGCCAGTCTGGGAGCACCATTAAAGCAGCTTTTATTGGTTTCATTCTCAATCCACTGCACAACCACCTTCCCCTTGGTGTACAAGCCAGCCCTGCAGAGTCACCACAGCAGCATCAGGATTGCTGACACATCAGTGGCAGCAGGGATCACCCCTTGTGCCTCCTCTGACCCAAAAAAGGCGTGGTGGCAGGTGCTGCTTAACACATCTGACCTGGCACACCTTTCCAGAACAATTACACCAAAAAGGAGTACAGGTTTGACCTTGGCTGGGAAAAGTGAGCAGCACAAAAAGCAGTCAGAAGAGCCATGTTTAGGCCTTGTGAATTAGAGCTGAAGGCTGTAATTATGCTGATTTGATGGGATTGCACAGTGAGCATGCACAGCATCCCTCAGGTGAGCAGTGGGTGGCTCCAGCAAGGGGCTGCCTGCCTCCAAAACCCAAACATCCCAAACCTTCCCTCTCCAGGGCCTGCTCCCCCAGGGCCCCATCAGCTCTGAAGCTTGCAGGTTCATCCATGTTCCCACAACAGGTTGCAAACAAAAATCTGACACTCAAAACTGCCTTTGATATACATTTCCAATTCACCAAAATTAATGCCAGGCAGTTTCCTTTCCCAGCTATGTTGTCATAAAATAAGGAATATCTCTTTTGTATCATGTTTTGATATAAATTAAATGGTATCAGCAAATTAAATGGCACCCATCAAAACATATCAGCCAGCTGTCTGCAGCAGCTCTTGCTCTGATTTTCAAACAACACCCACTTTTTCCAGAGCTGCTGTTTTAATGCTGTCACAGTTACCCCCTTATTTATTACTTTCTTCCCACACCTTTGGAGCTTGCATTTTATCTTGTGTTTGGGCTCTGGTGGCTAGTTTTATTTTTATTTAAGAAAACACTTATCAGAGAGTTAAAACAATTCCTGAAGTGCTGTTTCATTAATGGTGGTGTAGGATGTTATGAGAACAGAGTAGAAAAGTGCCTGACTGCTGCTTTTAGAGAGTCTCATTAGTTTGCTCTGAAAAGTTCTGTGGTGATAGGAGCAGGACTGGAACAGAGGTTGGCTAAAAACAACTGGGAAATTAAGTTTCCTGCTCTGGGAAAGGTGGGTTATTTGCAGCAAAAACCTCTCTGGTGTGATCACAGTAACCTGACTGAGGCTCCATCATCATTTCTGTGGAGGCAGAGCTCAGGCAGACACCGTCCCTGTTGGGGCTTTCCTTTAATAAATGCACAGCAGCCTCTGCACAGCTGGAAGGTGATGAGGGGGCTGGTGGGGGTGGTGGTGGTGTTCCTTTTTACTGTTTTGCCACTAAGCTGGAATTTTCTGTGCTTCCAGTCAGTGGGAATGGCAGCTCCTCCACGAAGCAGACGGTGTTTGGTTTGGTCACAGCCATGGATCTCCTCACCTTTGTCAGCAGGAACGACAAGTAGCAGAGCAGCTCGGCTGTTCCCCCTCCTCCAGCAGGCCCAGGTGTGCCCCCGAGCCCAAACCACCTGGCCAAGGCAGCCTCTGGCCCAATGCAGCCAACAGTTTCTCAAAATGCCTAGGAGAAAATTGTGATGTGTTCTATTTGTCTGCCAAATGCCACCCCCAGTATCACTAAAGAGGAGGTAACTAAAGAAATTGTGTTTAACAGCCATGTGTGCTCACATGGAGCTTCCCAGGGCTGGGCAGGGAATGTGGGAAGGTCAGGATGGGAAGGGTATGGTTGTTCCTGCCCAGAGTTGAGCAGGAGAAGCTTTGGTGTTTGCCAGCTGCAGGTACCTGTGCACTGCCCCTGGTGCACTGCTGAGTTACCCTGCTCCCTCCAGAGCCCATTTCTGCCACAAGAGCTGCAGGGCTGGGGCAAGTCAGGGCACTGCTGCACCCTCCTGCCCCTTTCTGCCCACCCAGGGCTGCAGACACACCCAGGAGCCATTCCTCCTCACCCATGGGGGCGTTTGCCTCCAAGAAGGCAGCAGGAGAGTGTGGAGTCTTAATTTCTTTTTGCCAGGCTCGAGATTAAATGTGTGAGATGGTATTGCTTGTTCTGACTCAGATGTTTATCAGTTCTTGTCTCTGTTACAGTCGGAGAGGTGTGACAAGGAGGGAGGACACAGAGTCCCAGGGAGGTGAAAGGTGTCAGCAGGAGGGGTGGGAAGGGAAAGCTGAGGGCTGTGGTGAGCAGAGGGGATGAGGTGCTGGGCTGGTGGTGGATGGTCACCCCTGTGGGGGCAGCTGGGCTTTGGGGAGCACCTTCCTCACCTCTGGGGGAGATGGTGGCACTGGGTGCCTCCTGCATGGTCCCACCTGAGGGGACAGTGAAGGGAACCCAAACAAGACACAAACTCAGCCACAGAACAGGGAGAGGGGCCATGCCTTCACCCCTGAATATGCATCCTGAGAGCTCCTTATCAAGGGCTGCGGAGGAGGGCAAGGTTTGGTCCTAATTTTGCTGTCAGGCCATTGTGTTCTGGGGACTGATAATGAAGGTCAGCAGAGCTATTTGCCACGGCTACCAAAGAACTTAAATTAAAGCAAATGTCAAAATTGGGCTGTGGGAGCAACCTGAAATGCCATTGAAACCCGGATTGGGTTTGGGGGAGTTGTTCTCAAAAGACCCAGAGAGGTTCACAATCTTTGTATAAGTTTCTGGAGCTGCTCCAAGGTGGCAACAACCAATTTCAGTTTCAGCTTGCTGCTAAGTGGCTACTCCATATTCTCAATCTAATCTAGTTTGTAGGAGACTTTTATGAAGTTACAGAATGCTGAAGTATTTACATTTAGGAAAAGTGTCTCTGCTGCCCATTGTTTCCTGAGTGACATGGGCAATTATCAGATTTTCTGAGAGTTTTTGCTTGAGCAATGACCATATTTGTCCAGAAAAACAAAAACTGATTAGCTCAGCCCTCATTGTATCATATTTATTTTAGCAATTCAATTCTGTTGCAAGGTGAAGCATGTTAGTCCATGCATGCACTCCAAACTCACATGAGTAAGTCTGAAAGTGCCCTGTAACTCCATGAAGCCCAGAACTGAATCTGAATCTGGACCAGCCTGGCTGTTATGGATTAACCCAAAGCCCAGTGCTTCCAGCAGCAGCAGCTGCAGGGCTGCAGGGCTGCAGGGCAGTGCTGCCAGCTGCAGACAGGCTCCAGGACAGGCAGATTCACTCCAGCCAAGGTGAAGGAACCGCTGAGTATTAACCTCGAATATTTACAACTTCTCTGTGTAAACAATGAGTGTGGGAGCTAATAAAGGTGGGTGTGACCTCCAGATATTCCAGGATTGCTCCACCTGGGCTGGAGCCAGGCTCACCAAGGCACTCCTGGGGCCCCCTTCCCCTGTCCCTGGGGCTGCCCTTTGCAGGCACATCCAGCAGTGGCATTGCCCTGCCAGGGATGTTGGTGCTGTGTCTCCTGATGTTTGCCAGGCTGTGACCCTGAGCGTGTCCCAGCACCACCCCGGAGTGCTGGGTTAGGAGTGAGAGGGACTGGCTGTGCCATCCTGCCCACCGTGTCTCGGGCATGGAAAAGGCCTCAGGAGGCAAGGGAGGAGTTTTCATTTGAGTTGTCTGCAGAAATCCCTGCAGGACCTATAAACACGTGCCCATGCAACATCGGGGCAGGAGCAGCATGTCCGAGTGTCCCTCCCACCACCCTCTGTCCCCTCTACACACATCCCTGGGCCTGTCCTCTGACAGTGATGACCCCCTCTGGATAAACAGTCCTTGGAGTTCCTTTTCCTTCCCCTACCCTTGAGACCCTGTCAGTATTTATGTCTCCAGTGAGAGGCAGCTGCCCAGCTTGGCACAGCTTTGTGCTCTTGAGCTCTGTGGGGCATGGGGGTTCTGACCAGAGGGATGGGGTTTCCAGGCTTCAGGAGCCATGAGAGGGAAGCAGGAGGTGGGTGAAGGTCAGGCAGCATCCCAGCCCACTGTCCTGAGTGCAGTGTTCAGCTCCAGTGCTCCCTCAGCCTGCAGGTCCCCCCGTGCTCTTCTCCCAGCACCTCCTGCTCCAAAGGGTGAGCGGGTGTGTGCTCCCAAACCCTCACTGCTTTCCAGCACCATCTGCCCCAAGATGCCTCTGCTCTGCATCCCTCTGCTCTGCAAGGCTGGGGAGCACATTTCCAGTGAGCTCACGGGTACATCAGTGCATTTCCACAGCAGGGACCAAATGGCCCAGGGGGGAAGAAACTCAGGCTGCCCGTGCTGGTCAGGGCACATGAAATTCTCTGCTGAGATCCCCTTCTCTGCTGAGATCCACAGCCTTGGCTCCCTGCAGCTCAATCCAGAGGAAAACAAACCCCAAAGGCTTTAAAGGCTGCCTGTCAAGCCCGTGGCACAGGAGGGCTGCCCTGTCTGGGGAAGGTGTGTGCCCTGAGAAGGTCCATGCCCTCCGCTGGCTCCTGCATTTTGGGGTGCATCACCCAGAGCTGGCTGCATTTCAGCTGTGCTGCCTCCCTAGAGCTTTTAACTCGTTTTGCTCTCCCTGTGGAGCCCGATGTCCCTGTCCCCAGCAGTCTGTGAAGCACAGGGGGCTGCTGATGCTGCAGAAACCCTGGTGGAGTTTGCCCAGAGGGGCGTGGGCAGCCAGGACAGAGCTGGACACGCCAGATTAGCCTGAGCTCAGACAAAACCAACACCAGGAGCCAGATAAGCATCTCGCTGGCCCTGCCCAGCACCTTGGAGGCTTCCCCGCCTCCCCTTTGGCCCCGGCAGGGTTGCACCGTGCAGCCACATAAATAGAGGAGCGGGGCAGGAGCGGGGCCGATTCCCAGGGAATCGCAGCGCATCCCGGAGCCCGGCCCGCCCTGCAGGTAACCCGGGAGCCACAGGCATCCCAGAAGGGCGGGGGAGGATGAACATTTCCACAGGGAATAGCGGGAGGATGGTGGTGCTGCTCCCGTGGCGTGGTTTTGCTGGAAATTGGCTCTGTTGAAGGTGCCCAATTTCACTGCTGGGTGGGGTCAGGTGTTTTGGCAATGGATGGGATTGGTGAGGTTGGGGTGTGAGAAACCTTTGATCTATTGATGTTTGGTGGAGGTGTGGGGTGGTTGAAGCTGGGGCAGCCAGGAGGGAGCTCTTGGCTTGGGGAAGGAAATTCCTTTCCAGCAGCAGCTTTTCCATGGGGAGCATGTCTGGGTTCTGTGCCAGTCCTCTGGGAACGGCAGTAAAACAACCACTAGATTAAAATGTGTGAATGAAAGGAAGGGGCAGAACAACTCCAGCAAAGATAAAGCAGGTCTAAGTAACTTAAACTAGCAAAAGCTGGTTTTAAAACCAGAAAAGCTTCAAAGTTTGTTTTTTTTCCAAATTGATAACGCACAGGGTCTGTGCTTTCAAGCTTTTTCTTTATGGTTATGCAACTTGCAAATGTTTTTGTTTAAGGAAATGTTAAGAAATAACTGTGAGTAGTTGCATGCCTGCAAGAGTAGGAAATTTGGGTTATCAAAGGGTGATGATATAAAAGTAATCAAATGTGGCAATGGGAGAAGAGACCAGAGCTGGAAGGACCCAGTGCAGGAACGAGGAAGGTGTATTTAATACACCAGGACATAAGGGCACTGAGACAGAGGGAAGGGATCAAAAAAATGCACTTAAAGGAAACACTGGGTCTTGAAAAGCTGGGGAGGAAAAAAAAAAAAAAAGAGTCCTCAGCCTTTGAACAGGAATAGGGTTCAACATGGGCTGCCAGGTGCTGTGCATCCAAGGTGTGAGAGGAGAAGGAGGAGGGAGCAGGCACAGGGAAGGAATTTCATGCCAGGACTGACTCTGAAAAAAGGCTGGCCAAAGAAATGGAGAAGACAAAGAGGTGAGTCCCACAGGAATGCCCACCATTGGAAACATCTTCCTTAAGGAAAAAAGGTTTTTCCAGTTGAAATAGAGAGGGAGTGACCCCCCTGGCTTCCTCTGAAGGAGAGGTGGCTGGAAAAGGCAGACAGTGAGTGGCACAGCAGGACAGGCTGGGAGCTGGAGCAGCCTGGAGTAGCCACAGGACAAGCCACCAAAGCAGACAGCGCTTCTTTAAACCCTTCTTCTGTCCAGGCCTGCATGCCTTCCAGGAACAATTAATTAGGCATTTAAATGTAAATTATTAGCACCAACATGAGGGTGAACAAGTCCCATTTGCTGGTCAGGGCAGCCATGGCAAGGTCAGTGAGTGCTGCAGTGTGGGCTTTGCTCAGCAGGGCCCACCTGCCTGAACCCCTGGGGATGGAGGGCACTGTGCTCGAGCCAGGATGGGCTTTTGGGGATGAGATTCTGTTTAGAACAAACTCCCCTGGCACCTGATGCTGTTGAGTCAGGGACAGAAAGAAAGGCTCCGGTCTTCAGGCGGATCAGAAGGCGAACTTTAATGAAAGTAGCAGGTCTTCTATAATGTGACTCACTAAGCTGAGACTTGATTGGCCTCAAAGTAGAAGCACCTCACACTGTTGGTGCCTGTGAATAGCACACTGTGAAGAACCAGAACTGTAAACAATAGTTACAGAAAGAGAGATAATAATTGTTTTAATTCTTTCCTCTGAGATTCCCAGGCTCGGCCTGGGGTAAATTCTCTCTGTTCTTTCTTTGGCTGAACAGAGAATCCCCACAGGCACCAGGCAGCTGTGGGTGAGCCAGCCTCAGCCACGGGCTCCTCAGGGAGATGGGGCTGCATCCCCTTGGCTTTAAACCGCAGAGGGGCCAGCCCAGAGCTGGGACCTTCAGTGTGACACACCCTGCGTGTGACACACCCTGCGGGTGACACTGTTGTGTTGCACTAAACAGATTAATTAGTCGTTGCTTTGCACTGGGTGATTGGGAATTTGCACAGAGTAGTTTTTCTATTGCACTGTACAGCTTATGTTCTATCACGGGGTTTGTTACCCTTTTCCCCCATCTCATGGCCTTTCCCTCACCCACCCCAGTACCCCCTGGTGGTCTCTCCCCTGGGTTACCCCTCCCCTCGCCACCCCTCACTGGTATCCCTTTGGCTGTGGACCTCTCTCTCTGTCCCCATCCCCAGGGTATAAAAGCTCCCTGTCGCCAGGGAACATTCTCTTTCTCCCATGGGTTTGCCCACCTGGTGTGTCCCTTGGAATAAAGGGGAACGTTTCCCACGTGGAGACGAGCGCTTCTCAATCTTTTCCCTTCATCTCTGAATTATCCTGTGGGCAGGGGTCCATAGCTAGCCGGAGCGGACCCCAACAGCCCCGCAGAAACCACGTTCATGACATCTGCTCCCATTTCCCCCTTTTTCCCCCCAGAATCATGGCCCTCCCCGGCGCCCTCCGCCTGTGGCTCGCCTGCCTCCTGCTCCGCAGCGCATCCCCCAAACCCAGCTGCGACCCCCGCGCCTGCCCGCCGTGCCCCGAGGGTGACCCGCAGGGGACAGCCACCCCCTCTGCCTCCTCCTGCTGTCCCCCGTGCCCCCTTTCCTGCGCCTGCCCGCCCTACCTGGAGAGCGACTGCGAGATGCAAGGCTTCGCCGGCGGCCGCGTCCCCGCCGGCCGCTCCTTCCACATCGACTTCGCCCGCACGCTGTGCCGCTGCGGGCCCGGCGGGGCCATCGCCTGCGCCCCGCTCTGCCCGCGGCCCCCGCCCGCCTGCCGAGCCCTGGGCAGCCCGGTGGCCGACGGATGTCCCCAGTGTGTCTGCTACGACCAGGAGGGAATGGCAGTGCCCGCGGGCAGCGCCGCCCGGCGCGGGTCCCGCCTGTGCCGCTGCCCGGCCCTGGGAGGGGAGATGGAGTGCGGAGAGCCGGGCACCGAGCAGTGATGCTCTGCTGGCTGCTGGCTCCTCTCCGGCTGCAGAAAGCGTCCTGGGCTTCGGGGCATCCCCCTGAGAGGCTTTGAGAGGAATGATGGATTCTGTCTTTACAAGCTGTGGGTCTTCTGGTGGGTAAAACTAGCACTGAGAGATAAAGAACGGGAAGGATTCCACTTGTTTGGATTCCTGAATGGAAAAAGATATTTTGCTTTTACTAATAAGCTTTAGGTGGGCTGATAAATTAAATTGGATGTTGAAAGGTGAAAGAAACAATGGGCGGAAACTCTAAGTTCCGTAAGAATTAAACATTAAAAGGGAGGGTTATGCATTAGAGGGGAATCTCTGGTATCAGGTGTTTTGGGAAGTCTGTGCCTCTCAAGTACCTCAGCCAATGGGGAAAGAGAGAAGGGAAATGTGGCTGGGAAATTGGGATAAAAAGGGAGGCTGCATCCTCCAAGAATGTGAGAGACGCCAGGGGAATGCCCCATGGCCTCTCCCTTTATTCAAATAAAGTAAAAGGACTCCTCTGTCTGCTTTTTGTACCCTTTGAACAGCTTCAGAGGGTCCCTGAGGACTTGGGGGTTGCTCCCCTCTGGAGAGGGGGGATGCCACGTTCTCCATCATTGGTGGGCCAGGGCAAAGTGTCTGCAGGGGGTGAGCTTGCTTGCTTGTGAGGTTTGTGCCACAGGTACAACTGCTGCTAGCATGTAACTGGAGCAAACACAGCTATTTATTTATTTGGAAGGTGATTCTGCTTTTGTGTGTGTTTGTGTTTATATAGGCTGTTTATATTAAACTCGCTGGATGAACTTTCTCCCAGGTGCCAGGCTTTTTATTCCTGTAATTCCATTGGGTTCCAAGCGGTGGGACCAAGATCAGAAGGCTGGCTGACACCTTCTCTCCAGTCTTTTGAGGAGTTGGTGGGTTAGCAGAGCTCTGTGTTCTCAGGAGGCAAAGCCCCTCCTGTCTCCACCCTCTGGAGCAAAGCCTTGGCTCACGTGGGGATGGTGGCACTCAAGGCTCTGTCCTTCACAGCCACCTGGATCCTACCCAGGGCTGACCCCACTGTCAGTCCCAGTCCTGCAGGAATGCCCCAAAATGTGTCTCAGTGACTGTGTCCTCTGGCTACAGACACAGGATACAGAATACTGCATCTTCTGAATGCTTTGACATATATAAATACACACACACACATCTGTATCTATATATATCTATATATAAACCCCACAGCTTCATCAGGCTGTGTTATTAACACATGTTAATTGTTTAAGGATTGAATAAAAGCATTGTTACCAATGAACTTTTGAACTTTTACTGATAAGGACACATATACTTTCTTCTTGTATTGTCTAGTGGTACTTGGGCCTCACAAGGCTCTCTCCAACCACCTTGGCTCCAGGTGCACCTGGACACATTAAGTGGGTCCCCCAGATTATTTTTGCTTCTTTTCTGCTCTGTCTGATGCTGTTTGACTCAAAAAAAAACAACCAAAAAAAAAAAAAAAAAAACCCAACCAAACAAACAAAAAAAAACCCAAAAAACAAAACAAAACAAAAAAAAAAACAAACCAAAAAAAAAACCCAGTGAGCCTGGCCTATTCAAGTGGAGGGTGAGGAAGGGGTTGGAGGAAGCAGGTGAATTTGGTTTTTGGGATGCAGCAGGAGTCTCCATCCATTGGGGAAGGGACCTTAAGGATTATCCAGTTCCAACTCCCCTTTCATTGTCCCAGGTTCCTCAGAGCTCCATCCAGCCTGGCCTTGGGCACTTCCAGGGGTGGAGCAGCCACAGCTTCTCTGGGCAACCTGTGCCAGTTCACCACCCTCATAGTGAAGTTTTTTTTCCCCCTGTATCTAACCTAAATTTCCCTTCTTTCAGTTTGAAGCCATTCCCCCTTGTCCTGCCATGCCAGACCCTTGGAAATTCTCTCTCTCCATGTTTTTTGTAGGTCCCTTCAGGTACTGGAAGGCCACAAGGAGGTCACCACCTTCTCTGGGCTGAAAAATCCCAATTGTCTCAGCCTTTCCTCACAGGACAGCTGCTCCATACTTCTGTTTCAGGGAAGGGGGATTGACCTGACAGCACCTTCTGCTCTTCCCCATTCAGTGTAAAAATCTTAGTTTTTAGTGAGGTTAAAGCTCATTGTTCACCTTCCAGACAGACCCCAGACATCCCATGCCACCGTGTTTGCCAGCAGCACAAGAAATTCTTCCCATGACAGTTTTCTACTTACCTTCTGTGCAGGTATTTACAAATTGCTGAAGGAACCCACATCCTGTATGCCCTTGTGAGCTGAGGGTGTTTGAGTCCATGGGGTTGGCTCCCTTTTGTGTCTGCCAAGAATTTAAGGAGATCAGGAGGAGTTTGCAAGGGCAGCCATGGGTTTTGCAAGCACAGGGATTATCCAGAGGGAGTCATGAGGGATTTGGAAAGGCTCCTCACTGCCTGGGGAGGGTGGTGGGCTGCTGGGGCTGTTTATCCTTTGTCACACATCTTATCTGTCTCAGGGTTCCCTGCTTTGTGTGACTGATAACCTTGGAGCAGCGGGGAATGACCGACAGATGGGCAGCCCCTGCATAATATTGGGATTGTCTGCTGCAGCCAGCCTCAGCACGGGAACAATGAAGGAGTTATTGTCCAAATATCTCTGCAAAAAAGGTCCCTGTCGGCTCCTCTGCAAGCTGCTCCTTGGAGGTGCTGCAGAGCTTCTCTGCTCTGCCCCCACCTCTGATGTGAAATACCTTCTGTCTCCAGGATCTCTGCATTTCATCACATGGAAAGCAGTAGCTGCATTATTTTACTTTTACCATGGGCAGCACAGGGAGAAAATGGAAAACTCGCCATGATCAGTTGTCAGAATTTATTCACTTAAATTGAACGTCCTGGGGTTTGGCATGCTTTGTTTGAATGGGTGTTCTCCTGGATTCTCCAGTATTAATCACCCATGTGCTTCTCTGCAATTTGGACACCCTATTGCTGGTGTTATTTGTATTTTTCCAGGTCAGATTTTCCCCAGTCTGGGCAGGGATGCAGTTTTGTGGCTACTCCTTCACACGGTCACTGTCACTTTGCATCACAGCCAGGCAGGTGTTTGCAGGGAAGGACTGTAAATGTTTCTCAAGAGCAAAGCAACACACAAACTCCTGTGCATCCCTAAGTGAGCCCTGAGAACTGAAGCCAAAGCTGAAATTTGCAGCTCCTAAAAGGAGCGCATTTTGCACATGGAGCAATCAGGTTTTGGGTTTTTTTTGTAAAGGATCATTACTGATGTTTAGTTAGTTGTGGAAGGAACTGGGCCTTTCTTCATGGTGTTAATAATAAAATGATTGATTTAAGTAGATCCATGCTTGAGCCCTCAGTCCTTTTACGAGCCCTCTCGGTTCCTGCCTCATGGGGCTGTAAAACATTAAAATATCCATGAATGAAAGCCCAACTATTACAAGAAATTGAAGTGTTTGCCCAAGTCCTTCTACCTTTTCCAGCAGCCTGCCAGAAGTGAATTCCTCAGGTGTGGTTCACCAAAGAGCTTTAGCACCCCAGACTCCATTTGCAGAGCCCAGGAGTGGGGGGCTGGCTGCTTGCCCTTTGGTTTTTCTCCTAGTTATTATGCACTTAAGTGATCAGAAATCTTGATCCATGGCAGGTTCTGCACTGGTGATTTCTGATCAGGATGGGAACAGAGGTTTCCTGGAGGACCCCCGATTAAATTAGAACATAGTCACTCCCCGTTGGTAAGGGACTGAGCACATCCCCCTAGAAATAATTTCTCTTTGAAATTTGGGGCAAGGGAGAGAGGTAGCATTTGACACTTTTGAATGTGTTCATTATAGGAAATTTTAAGCTGCCCTGACAGGCCAAAGGTGCAGTGCATTTATTAACAGCAAATGGCACGAGGATGGGAGACACACACACAAGTGTATTTGGGTTTTTGTGATTTAATAGGGAGTGCTCTGGGCTGGGGACAAAGTGGGGACTGGTGAAAGGTTGAGCTCCATGGTCTTGGAGGTCTTTTCAACTTAATTGATTCTATGATTTAGCTTCAACATTGTGCATCTACACTAAAACCAGCTTCTTTTTTTTTTTTTTTTTTTAATTCCAATACTGCATCCATAGCAGCACCCACAGCTCAGTTCTCCAAGGCTGCTGGGCTTTTTCCAGCAGCTGGCTTTGAATCCTGGAGTGATTTGCAGAGTCATTATTCATGGCTATTCACAGTTCAGAAGTTCAAGAGACACAAAAAAAAAAAAGTCCAGGGTATGTAATCAAAGATTAATTGTTGCCAGTTTCCAAAGAAAGGAAGGAGGAAAAAAAAAACACACACAGAAAAAGTATAAGAATGCAAAACCAGTTGTTTGAAAGCAGAATGGAGGATCTTAGAGGAAAATTATTGTTTCTGGAGCTGCTGAAAGTGTCCCTGTGTGTACGAGTGAGTCAGGAACATTGTTTGCAGGCAGCATCTGGAAAGCTGGGAGAGCAGCACAGGCATTACCTAATAAATGCCAACCCAGTTCCTCAAAACCTTTGGCATTTTTCCATTCTGAGTTTCATTTGATGATGATGCATAAAATTTTCAAGAGCTTTCAGGTCTCAATCCAGCTACAGTACTGAGTTAAGAAACTTAATCAGAATCAGCTGTGCAAAATAGTCCTTTTGTGTATTTAAAGAAAAAAGACAACAGAAATATTCTCTGTCCTTCCTGGTCTTAATTGGGATCCTGCCCATGGAACCATGTGTATTCTAAGTATCTTAGAAAAATCAGTATCTGCACAGTAATTGAATTTGTAATTATTGTAATTGCACATATCAATAAGTCCCCTTGTCTCTTCTGTGTGCCAGTCTCTGCTGAGAGCAAGGAGTCTAAACCTTAAAGACCAAAGAGGGCCATGAACTGAGCTGTGCAGAAACGTGAGGAAACAGAACTTGATGAATGTTAACAAATTAAGGGAAGTGTCCATAGTTTGTAGCTCACAGTGAGATGTTGCAGGAGGAGGGACACACACAATCCTCAAGATGAAAAGTCAGGCACTGGTTATTTAACCACAAAACCATTAAGGCTGGAAAAATCCTCTGAGCCTGGTCCCCACCTTGTCCCCAGCCCATATGATCTGCATATTTCTTCAAGACTTCTAAAAATCTAACTTGAAAAATTCTTGGATCTTAGCAAAAAATTATCTAAATTAATTTTTATCACCACAGTCATATTTAGTGTATGCGTCAGTTTGTATTTAGGATTCAGGATCAAGTTTATGAAAATTAATTTTCAGGAGTAGGTCCAAGGGCCTCAGCTCCTCTTTGTGCCAGTGGTGACACCAAAATCCAACAGAGAAGGTAAATACCCACAGATTTCCCCTGACTACTTCACAAGCCCTAGATCACAGCTCAGTTGCATCAGGGAGAAAAACCAAACTTCACGTGCACAGGTCACATTGCTTTCAGATTTTAGGAGGGTATCAAAATGGTGATTTTTAATTTTGTGTTTTAAATACGTGACAGATGTAATCCCACATACATCACACACACTCTGAACTTGCATGAATTTATATATGGATAAATAAATAAATACCTAATGTGTCCCAGCTATGTTGTTGGGTTGATTTTGCAGAATCCTCTTTTCACACTGTGTGTAGTTTATTTTCCCTTGTTTTAGCTTTGAGGATATTACTCTGGTTTTACAAAGAGAGTTATTTAGGAACAGCCCTAAGCTGCAGACTAAAGGACTTTGTAAACTGATGCTCCACAAAAACAAACCAGCTCACCAGTTATTTACAACTATTTACCTCTGATTCCTGTAATGGCTTCTTGAAGAGGGGATTTATCTCTCAGGGGAATTTGAAACCATCCAACTAAAAATACTCAGTATGGGACCTATTTTAGTTGATATAATAATATAACCACAGAATGGTTTGGGTTGGAACGGACCTTAAAGATAATCCAATTCCAACTTCCCTGCCATGGCAGGGACACCTTCCACTGTCCCAGGCTCCTCAGAGCTCCATCCAGCCTGGCCTTGGGCACTGCCAGGGATCCAGGGGCAGCCACAGCTGCTCTGGCACCCTGTGCCAGGGCCTGCCCACCCTCCCAGGGAAGAATCTTTTCTAGTATCTAATCTAACCCTACTCCCTGTCAGTCTGAACCTGTTCCCCTTTGTAACTTTACAGGTGGGGGATTTTTTGTATGTTAGGTTGTTTATTCATTTCAGATGAAGGAAAAAATTGCTCCCTGGCAGCAGTGGAGTTAAAATTATTTCCAGTTATATCACCAGGAGTTATTGGCACTACTCTCAGACACCCTTCTAATGCCAGACAAGGAAATGATAAATACTTCTTTGTCTAGAACAAAAACTACTCATCTATCCACAGATTAACCCTCTAATCACAAAACATCATCCAAAATCTGCTCTCTTCCCTTCTGGAGGCACTCGTGGGTGTCACCATGCCAGATGCTGGGGAAGAGACATCAGGAATAAATAATGCTCCAGCACTCAGCAGAAGTAAATCCAAGAGTACCCACGTCTGGTTGAATCTCTGCTGAGCAGGACTCGCTGGATATGAAATGAGTTTGAGATTCTCAGTTGAGAAGAATCTTGTAATAAAGGAGCTGCTCATTTCCTCAAGATTTCTGATTTTGTAGAACATGGTAATTTTAGAAATGTGTCACAATCTGGCTAAACAAGTTAACACATGGGATTTGTGTTTTCAAATAAGTCACTACCATATATGCTTGGAACCATTTCTTGAAGTTTGATGTCCATGCCATTTTAATTAATAATTTTGAAACAACAACAAAAAGAAAACCCCACCCAAAGTCACAAACATTGTGGTCTATTTACCTGCTAATTCTTTCTTTCATCCAAGCTGCTCCTGCATTACAAAAGTGTAATAAAAATCCCCACACTGGTAAGAACTAGTAAACATTTCTTCATTTGCATAAACAAGAAACCCCAAACAAATACAAGGGCCAAGGACTTTCCCTGGCCAAGAACTGGTTAAATAGTTTGAAACTATGCTCAAGATTTCCTGAAAACGTATTTGTCTTTCAGCCAAACAATACTGTTAAAGCAATGTAAATGCTTTGCTTCCAAAATGTGCTTTTTCTGTTCACAGAGAGCAGCAGTGTAAAAATAAATCACCCATGAAGCATATTCTCATTTTTAATTTCATCCTTTGATAGATCAGTTGCTTCAAAATCCCTTAACAACCAAAGAAAGAAAAGTTGCAGGGTTCATATTTGAAAGATTGTCGATTGTGCAGAGCCAGTGCTGCTAATCCTTGGGCAGGTTATGGGGGCTTCTGCCACCCCCTGAAACACTGGGTTCTATTAACACCAACCAAGAGTCTTTATGGGTGTCTGCAAGGCTGGAAAGGCATTTCCCTGCCTTCTCACACCTTGCTTTTCTCTGGCAAAACCAACTGTGATCACTCAGCAGGTCCTAAAGAACTAAGTCACAGAAAAGGAACGGATTTTGTATTTCCAGGTGACGGGAATGAACAAATTACCTGATTTGGGCAATCACCAAAAAGCACATCAGCGCCAATTTCGCTGCACTTTGCACTGGACCATCAGGTCACTGCAGGACTAGAAAATTAAACAACCCAGAAGGTCTTTGAAGGAGTTGAGCATGCCAAGGGCAGGGGAGGGGGGGGAAGGAATCCACTCTGAGTTTGAGTTTGGCAAAATGAAGCTGCTTTTGTCCTCAGCTCTGCTGCAGAGTGAGGAGCAAAGGGCACCCAGCTGCTGGTGGGGTGGTTTGCACACCACAGCCACATGGTCACGGATCTGCTGTGTTCAGGAGGTGCTGAGAGTTTGAATTTATTATTAGGAAACCAAAACATTTCACTTAGTTGTTTAACATGCGAGATTTTCATGAGGGAACGAAGTTTAGTTACATTTCCAACAGGATTTCAAAACTACATTTTGCTTGTTCAACTCCAAGCCAAATGTAAGGCTGAAGGGTTGAAGAGACTACTCAAAGGAACAGAAGTCAGAAAGACAATAACAATACAGTACCTAAAAATGGGTAATTCACACATTTTTGACATTTGTGTCTTGCATAGACAAATACTTATTCATTTTTTTCCTCCCAAGATGACTCAGCTTCAGAAAATAAAATGTTAAATCAACTTTAATTACAATGAAATGCATGTGTTCCAGTTTTTCAAAACACCAGGGTGTTCCAGATTTTTGTTTGTTTAAGTGCAACTATCATCAGTGGAAAGGCTTTGTTTTATCCCATGGGCTGCCAAGTTCCTAAAGTCAGGAAGGTGGACTTGTGATTCTTCCAGAAACAAATCCATGGGTTATTTCACAGAACACTCTGAGGTGGAAGGGACCCACAACGAGTCCAACTCCCCAGGGAATGGCCCACGTGGGGATCAGAGCTGTGTCCTGACCCACAGAGCCAACCTCAGGCCAGGAGCTGGGTTTGAGCCACGTGTGCTCCCATTCCTAAACAACATCCATCAACCTAAAGCTACTCTGGAAGCACAGGAACTGGGAACTGCAATTCCTCGCTCAGGTCTGGCTCCTGGCTGCATCTTGAACATCAAAATAAATTTATTTGTTGCACCCCAGTCTGCCATGAAATCCTGCCCTGCCAAGCCCTTCATCCACACCCAGGTTTCCACTGGAAGAAGATTCAGGTGTGCAGGCAAGGTAGAGCTGGATCTCCAAAAGATTCCTGACAGAGAGCAGGTACCAGGAGAAGGCAAATGCAGCCTGACATGGATCCGTGTGGAGCTTCCCTGAGATCAGCAGGACTCCACTGAGACACAAAATCCAGATGGAGAAAACCTTCTGCAGAGCCAGAGTTGATGCTGAGTATTTTCCAACGTGATTATTTCTTTGTAACAGTCATTCAGAAACTTATCCTGATCCTTTTGGAATTGATTTGCTGAGCTGAAATGCTTCCAAAGTTAAAAAAAAACAAAAAAACAAAAAAACAAAAAACCCAGAAAATTGCCTTGCCTGTTCCAGGAATATTGAAGAAATTCAACTGAGAACCCTGTTTTGGGTTAGATTGAAAAAAAAAATAAATTAGAAGTTTCAATAATTGTGTTTGCAGAAGAATCACATTGATTCAAAAACCAAATTGGTTCTATTGCATATGAATATGACTTTAATTGGGGGCAGGGGGAATTATACACAGACTCAAAGTCAGGTCCCCTGTAAAGACTTTTTGACTAATGTAAACGTGTACCTTTCCTGAATGGTGAAGCTTTGCTGAAACCAGCAATCTTTCCTACATCGCAAAAAAAAAAAAAAAAAACCAAAAAAAACCCCAAAAAACAAAAAAACCACCCCCAAACTACTCTACTTGTTTTTTCTTCTTTTAAATAATGAAAAGAACAAGCACTTCCCTGCAGTTCACACCCATTACAGAATTCTCACTGAACTGAAAGAAAATATTCGAGTTTCACATGTTAAGCACTTTTACACTGGTGAAGCTTTTTCAGTTTTAAGAATTCAAGTCCCTATATTTTTTTAATGTTTCTAATCTGACAGTGAAACTATTCCATATTCCCCTTTGACAGTAAACTCTGTCAACTTCAGTCTCCAGGAATTGATAAAGTAGCTGAAGACAAGGTCATGTTTTGGAAGAACAGAACTTCTGCTGCATGTAAGGTGGGGGAAATCATAATTTAAAATAAAATAAACCCTAGAAAATGGCTTCTTTTCTGAAAATTAAACATTCAGAAGTTTGCAAACCCTGAGGCCTGGTTGTTTCCAATAAAAACCCCAAACAAACCAACAAACATAACCTGTTATTTAATGGAAGTGGTGGGGGTAATGCAGCACTCTTGGAGTTAAAAACAATTAAGAACAAAAATACAGAATCTGAGTTCCAGTAATCGAAGCTATTTTTTGTAGGGGCAGTAGGCTGAATGCTTCCAAAGGAGCAGGATTTGTACATGGTTTGTCTTTGAAAGTCAAACTGGATTTGACAGCAGCCTTTGAGACAGCCATGATATGTCAAAGCCTTCCTAATTCATCTTCCATCATTCATTTACTGTGCTGTTTAACAAACGTGGCACATTAGTGGCAAAGCAGAGAAGTCAGAAGAAAACAAATTCTTTAGAAATCACCAGTCCAGTGGAGCAGATCATGACAGCACCAGAACTGAGGAAGATCCTCAGCCAGGACGCAGTGAGAGCCAGAGCAGAAACACCTCTTGTGTTGAGTAAAAACCATTTACAAAAAAATAACTCCCAGTCACCGAAAACTCCTGTTATTCTCCATGTGTGTATGGCAATGCCACTGATATTTCTTCCTGAAGCTTTTCTTCCTACCAACTCAACCTTGCCTTGGAAGACAATCTGCCATGGCCAGCTTCCAGCCACTTCAGCATGTCCAGCAGCACATTCCTTCATCCTCCTGAAATCAAGGGGACCTCAGCATGTGCCTGAGTGCTCTGAGAAGCAGAAATTAAGTATTCAATTAAATATTTGCATCTGCCAAAGGGCTTTGTTCAAATACAGTGTCTGAAGGTTCTAAAGGTGACCACCTTTCTCCCTGTCATGTTAGAAACACACCCAGGTTTGGTCAGAATCAGAAGGAAATTCTGGCTTTGATCTAAGCCAACACTGTGACAAATGGACAGGGACAAAAGAGGGTGTTGATCGTAGCATGAGGCTCTTGAGTCTCTTATTTGTACTCAACAAAGGGAAATACAAAGTTCCAAAAGCAAGTGTTCATGAATAGACAATCACAGACTTCAAACTTTGGGAAAATGAAAGAAATGAACTGTTACCACAACAAAAAAAAAAAAAATCCCAAAACAAAACCAAACCAAAACCCAGCTGTTTTTATCACCAGCTCTTTGTTTTTTAAATGACACACAAGGATTTCCTACTCTAACAAAGCCTGCTGTATATTCTGGTAGTAAACTTCAGATCTGAAGAAATTTTACATAAATCCATGTTATATTTTTCTTTTTGTATTAGGGGAAAATATTTCAAATGCAATAAAATAGCAGAATTCATGACTGTATAGTAGGCAACTTTTCATTTTTTTAGATTCAGTTGTACAAACTATAAACTGTTAAATTTCTCTAATAATTGGAAAACTTGTGGGTATTTGAACTTACTTACCTGAATACTCATTTAGCAAATATTTTCAGATACAAGTCTAGATACAGAGTTATGCAATTTGAATATTAGTTTACACATAATATAAATCAATGTTTGACAATATCAAAATCCCATCAAACAGTGGGCCCTTCTTATGCTATTATCAAATATAGTATATCACTGTGGGATAGCTGAGAATCATAGAATGCTACTGTAGGCTTGTTTATTAAATTGGGTCAATTTTCAGACCTTCCAAATAGGAATACTAAACATTTATTTTTCCCCTCTGGAAATTATTTTTTTTTTTTCCTCCTGCTTAATACAGTTGTCATCCCAATTTTTAGTGAATTTATAAAAATATTTTTTTTTATCCAATAACCCCAGCAAGGTAAAAATAGGAGTTTTTATAGCAAATGATAAACAGGCTCACGGACTATGAGAGAAACTAAACTTATTTAAATTGCCATACATTCTCTACTGAATCACACATCAACAGTTCCTTTTTATGTGTGTTGCTGTCCACCTCAGACTAGCAGTTTTTAAGGTGCAGAAGCATCTTTCAAATATATGAATCTAACTCAATAATCAAGTTTCACACACTAGTGTCACATGCTTTAAATTTACATCACCTGCCCATCAAAAGCTGTGTTAAATAACAGCACTAATTGAAACTGCATAATTCATCAGAAACTGCAGCACTTCCAATTAAGAGAACAAAGGGGTGCTTACGTGGTTCTTTATATTACTAGATATAATTTTCTGAAATAAGGAAAGGAAAATAAACAAAGAAAAAAAAAAAAAACCAAAAAAAAAACCAAACCAAAACACATTTGAAAGAAGTTGCTGCACCTGCAAAAACACTCTTTAAGCTTACTATGAAATACAAAAAAGTGCACCCTTCTATATCTACATATAAAACATATTAGAAATAAAACTTGTGTAAAATGTTTGCTGTGCAAACTATAAAAAGTCAGTCAGTCAGTCCATTCTTTTTCCTAAGTGTTTTTTCTGCAGGCTCTCTGGCTTCCTACTGCAGAGAGTCGCTGTTATCCAGGACCAGCCCACTGATGTTTGCTGTCGAGAGGTCTCCGCCGTCGTCCTCACCGCTGTCCACGGACTCGTCCTCGCTCTGCCCTGCCATCATCACCTGCTGCACAGCCAGGGTGGCACCATCCGAGGACAAGGACTGCAGACTGTCTACATTCATGTTCACTGGGGCTGTGATGGTCACGACAGCACCTGCAGGAGCACAACCACAGCACTTCAGCACCGTTCTGGCCTGCTGCTTATGTGTAACGGAGCTTGTCTCTAATCAACAGCTTCTAATCATTCGTTTCTAATCAACAGTTGCCCACCACAGAAATTTAAGGAACTACATTAAAATAGAAGATATATAGATTGTCAAATACTTAAATGTCAGGAAATGCCAGAATTAGGTTGGTCAGGAATCTTAAACTTTGTGTTGTGAATCTTAAATTTGTTTTATGGACACCCACTACAGCAATTCTCCAATCAAGTCACCACAAGGCCATTTCTGCAAAGTGTTCCAACTTAATTCCTTGCAGAAAAAGGGGAGTGATCAGATTCAAGGTAACTTCAATGGATAAAGCTGTTGTCAGATCCAGCAGAGGCTGAAGGAAAATTTGTTACGAACTGGAAAGAATAAAGCACCAAGCAGCAGGACAGAAAGGATGATCCTGGCATTAGAGCAGTTGTTTATCTTTCTTAAATGACATCTTTTTGTTTGATCTGACACCGAGGAAGTTACTTCAGTCAAAGTCTGTGGAGGCTCTATGACATCTTCCTGCCTCTCATTGTTCAGCTGGAAGCACGTGAGGCAGATGTGGAACTGCAGCTGCTCAGCCATGAGGCTGAAGCTGCAGCCCAGTGCTGCTCATCCAACAGGACACTCCTGACGTGCACACAGAGAGAACTCAGCTGTACATCTCAGTTTTACATCTTTTATTCTGTCATTTCATAACTTTGGAAACAAAAGCAAGTTTCTCAACATGAATTCCAATACAACACCCTTGCTTAAACCACAGAAACTTAAAGAGAGGAAAAAGTGACACTTCTCTGTTATACTTTCCCAGATTAAAACCACGTCTATACTGAAATATCCAGAAGTTTCCTTCCCACCACAGTCATCAAACCCTCCCTTTCCCTGTCAGAGAGGAATTAACTTTATGATCCATGTTCAGGCAGCTCTCCTCACCATCTGACATCGTGAGCTCGTTCGATTGCTGCTGAGCAACTCCTGAGGCAATGGAGTCAGGCCAGAACCTCTGGACTGGTCGGTTCTGGGCTGTTTTCTTCTTTGTTTTTGGAGTTTCAGAACAACTGGAATCCAGCATTGGCTGAAGAATTCGCCTTCTAGCATTGATAAACCTAAATACAATTGAGGGCAAGGTGAACTTAGGACCAGTTGGCTGTAAATTCCATCTCTCTCTCTCACATTCACAAAGTATGCAGCAGGAAAAAAAATTAGGAACATGAAATCTTCTATCAGCTGAACTTCACATTCTTTTTAAAGTGTAGAACCACTCCTAGAACACCAGCACCCTTCAATTTTGGCAAACTAGCTAAGAAAGCACTTCTATCATTTTGCAGCTAACAGCATTTTTCCCCCACCTCAGAAGGAAAAATTCTCCAGACAGCACAACAGATGTACACTTCAGGATCTTATTAAAGACTAAGCACCAGAAAACCTGCTGACAGCCCAGCTCAGAAAGCTGATACTCCTCTCATTAGGGTTCACCTAAAGTCTAGCCCCTGCCTAACCTGCTTTGTTTGGTCTGGTTTCATTTACTCCCTTAAGCTTCTGCATTACTTATTTTACAGGCTCCCTGGCTTTCAAGGGCTGGCTCCTGATCCAGGGGATGACAGCAAACACATTTGTCACATCTGTCCTGGTTCCTTTTAGTTCTCTGATTTTCACTTGCTTACTTTAGCATGCTAATTGCTGCCCTTCCACTTTCTGCTAGTGAACAAGAAAATACTGAAACTGAATCAGCTTCAACATAGTGAGCCATGGCAGGGAGTTGTGACTGAAGACATCGTCCCTAAATACCACAAAATACATCCAGGTCCCAAATTTACCTGCAATGGGAGGAAATCAGGTGCAGCTGACAGGTTCCTAAGTTGTAATAGAATGCTCTGCAAAGACAGCAGTCAGATCCCAGCACAGAGCTCCATGCCACATGTCACACAGGCACAGCCACCCTGTTCCACTTTTGGAACCAGTGCTCTGTCACTATCTTGGCTATTTCCCCGCTGGACCCCTCCACAGCCTCACAGCCAGTGTCATCTTTGAAATCTGAGGCAGATCCCAGTGGGACTTTGCTGCAGCAATTTTAGGAACTGATGCCACAAGGCGGGTAGGACACGTGTCAGCACCTTCCCTCCTCTCTTCTGCAGGGCAGGTGTCTTATCTTACACCTCCAGGAAAGATAAGACATGACAAAACCTGCTGAACCATGAACTGGTGTAGCTGAGGAACTGCCTCTCCATTCAGACATCACTGCTCAGGAGAGCACCCTTTGATACAGGAACAGAATCTGTTAACAGTAACTTCTTAAACATCTGCAGCCACCAGGCCACTAAATGCCTTTAGACTTCAATTTCTTCACTTGCAGAAGAGAGATCACAGTACTTCCATCTCTCTCAGCACTGGAACAGAACCCAATTCCTACTGCTGCAATGTTTTCTGGAGTCCTTATATAATTTAAATGGCATAAGTATTATTATACCTTATAAAAATAACATGCTTGTGTGCCAGTGCATAGCTCTTGTATTTCTATACATGTTTTGTACCATATGTAGAATATTTAAGTTCAACTCCAGATGTCCAAGTTATCCTCCTCACTATTTCTGAGCTGTGAGCTTGTGGAGACAAGGACAGATATTAAGTTAAGGGCTTTGCTCTTACCAATTGTTAACCTGGAGTAGTGTCAGATTTGTTTGTGCTGCAATCTGCTTCTTCTCATCCTCTGTTGGATATGGATGCTACAGAGGCCAGACAAGCAAACAAAAAAGGCATAAGCTTGTTTTCCATCTCTTCATCAAAAATAAGAACTCCTTTATTACATCTGATTAAAGAGGGTGGATTAAGGCCACCTGACTCATTAAAACACAAACCTTAGAAACATCACAAACTTTTATAGATGAAAATAATTCAACAAAGAGTGCTTTAGTACACAAAACCTGATTTTATCCTTGAGAGTGTCTGTGGCACCATGAAGCTGCTGCTGTGTAATTCAGAAGAAAAAGCTTCTCATGGCTGACAGTCTTTATTAAAGAGCATGATCCCTGGGCAGCACAGCATGTGAGCAGCTCTGATTAGTTCTGCTGGCCAGGGCAGTGTCATATGAGAGAAGTGAGGAGCACTCAGTTAAATAAAGGAGCACTGAGTTAAATAAAGCTGCTCTAAGCAGATGAGGACAGGGCACGTAACACAAGAAGTGCACACACAGCTTCCCTGGATCAGCTCTCTGCTGCAAACCAGTTGTAAAAGGCAAAATATCAATCAACTCAACATTGAAATAGCTTGGGAGCCATTTATCCTTTCAAAGTACTCATGCAAAGGGAAGACATTTGAAAGCACAAGCAGATAGTGACATGCTTGGTACACATCAGGAGGATTGGAAAGAAGATAAAGACAGAAAATTTGAGATTTTTCTCACTGCAAAATACAGGTGGAATTACTTTTCCTTGTGCCATGAACCAGGGTGTAGAGAGCATTAAGTTCTCGACACAGTGAAATGAAGAAAGGCTCCTTGTAACAACATTTATTGAGACTCTGCAGTACAAATGTAACATATTTATTAAAATATTAATAAAAGTCAACCAACATTAGACCTATGGAACTACTCCAAATGACTCCAGGGAAAGTTGAACTGAGATTCCATAACTGACAACAGAATAAATTCACCTCATTTATGAAAAGAAATTGTAAGAGACCACATGAAAGAGCTACATCAAAAACTGATCATGCTCAGTCCTTACCCCTATGTGCTGAAAAAGCCAAGATCTCATCACATTTGTAGCGTGCTTGGGAAGAACTCCTCTCTTATTTTTTGATGAGCCATCATCTTGATGCAAGATGCCTAGATCTTGGTTTAATTGCAACTGGAGCTGCACATTTAATTTTAGGAGAAATAAGGCAGTTAACATAGTAATGGCAGTTCTGTATCAATAAATGAACAACTCATTTATAGCAGGAATGAAAGGAAATTAGGCTTGAATATCTGGAATATACTCACTGTGTGCAAACATAAACAACTATGGAAGCTGTAAAATATTACTGATTTAAGACTTAAATGAAGGATAAAAATTAATTATTATGTTTCAGTTGCAAAAAGAGATGCTAAAGGTCCTGCCAAATAAATGCATTAAATTCTCAAAGAGCATTAAGATCCATACAGCAGAACCTATAATTCACTTTACAACATTCATACTGCTTCATAAATATTCCTATTTCTTTCTTTTTGCTTTTCACTTCCTATGGTTTCATCAAATCATTTGCACGTTGGTTATCTGAACGTTTGGGAATACATTCTTAAATGCTTATGCAGAAATAGAAAGAAACAGCACAATTTATGTGCTGTCATATAAGATTCTATTTCAGACAGTTGTAACCAAAATAATTCTAAATCAGGTTTTCCAGACAAATTGGAGCAATTTCTTAAGCCAATCAATATGTAGGAAATTAGTTTTAAACAAGGTTTAGGCTATCAAATTACTACAAATATATATCTGGAGCACATTTTAATTTCCAAAGTAATGTCTAACATTCTAAATAACCTGCTTGCATAAGGAGGCTTTATAATGAACTTTCAATAGCTTTTCTACAGTGCTTTTCCCTACCTCCACAGCATTCTGAAACACTGAAAAAGAAGACACTGGAGAAGGATTTTCAATTAGTGACCTTTGCATAGCTGGGTTTGGAGACTCCAGCTAACATCAAGAGTAGTGACAGATGTATACAGAAGGTCAAGTCCTTTTTTATTTATAGGCCAGAGGCATTATTTTCTCTCAGTATTTTTTTTTTCATAAAATGTAAAAAAACCCCAATTTTTCCAAACCCCTTCAGTCCAGGAGAGTAATTTTACACATTTCTTTCTGAGAGGTGTGTGAGGACAGAGCTGTCTGTGTTCCAGTGGGGGACATGGCTGAGTACAGATATGCTCCTGCCAATTCAAAGAACACTCTGTGCACACTTTTTTGGGTGGAAGGCCAGAATAAGGGGGAAAAGAAACCAGTGAGTCAGTGATTACCAACAGATTTTATGCTGTGGAGATGGGAGCTCCTCATTCACATTTCTAATTAAATCCAGATTCCAGGAAGATTTGGTTTACCACTTCCAGAGAAAACTAGCAAGGTTTTCTGCACCAGAAGATGGTCTAGTTTTCATGTTTCTTTTTCTTTAGTTGTTTCTTTGAACTCTTCAGATCCAACTCTTAAGAGCCTCCCACAAAAGAGTGCTGGCCCTTATATTTTAGGGTATAAGGAGACAAAATTGAGGAGCTCCCAGAATCTCAACTAAATATTTTGAAGGTTTTATAGAAAAATGCTTCTCAGAATAGATAAACTCTGAAATACATAGTTTCACAGTTCTATTGGTTGCCATTGTAATAAAAAGTCAAATTTCCCACAAAAACAGTGTGGCACCTTAGTTCAATACCTCAAATCTATCTATCCAGCCATAAACAAAGTTCAATGATTAGAAAAGTTATAATCATTTAATTCAGAAGGGTTTTTGGTTTGCATTGGTGTTTGGGGTTTTTTTTGGTTGTTTTTTTTTGTGTTGATTCGGGTTTTTTTGTTGTTGTTAATTGGGTTTAGAGGTATTTTTTTAAAATTTTAGTTTGTAGTTTTTTTGTTTTTGTTTTTTTTTTTTTAAGGTTTTTTTTTTTTTTTTTTAATTCTACTATGACTTAGCTGTTTTGCTGCTAAATGTTGTGGAAGCATTGGTGTTTGGGGTTTTTTTTTGTTGTTTTTTTTTGGGGGGGTTTTTTGTGTTGTTTCGGTTTTTTTTGTTGTTGTTAATTGGGTTTAGAGGTATTTTTTTAAAATTTTAGTTTGTCGTTTTTTTGTTTTTGGTTTTTTTTTTTAAGGGTTTTTTTTTTTTTTTTAATTGATTTCATGTACCTATAACTCTTCTGACATCAGTAAAGGAACACAATTAAAAGGTAGGAACTCTGATGAGCTATTGTGGCAAGGGGGACCTTATGACATATCCTACAACCTGTACTTCCCACAGCAGTGGCTGCACCGATTTACAATTAATTACTCTGTGTGTACACAGAGCTCCTTCTGCCAGTGTGTCAAATTTAAATCAAAACTCCTAAACCCACTGAGATGTATTTCCAGACAGAACATCATTCTGTGGAGCTGATGGAACAAACCTGAGAATTCTGGATCCGAATAGTCCCAGGTGACAGTGCCTGTGTCACCACTTGTCCTTGTGGAGTGACCACAGTGACTGGCTGATACACTGTCCCCCCTGGAAGCAAAACAGAAACACAGATTATGGGGAAGAAAATTCCCTTCAAGTATTATTCTCTTTAAACACATCAGCACTGCACACCACACAAGACTTTTAATAATATATCAATTACTCTTTTCTAGTCAGCGTGCAAGATGTGCTCTTTGCCACACTGAAATTTTCATCCATTCACAAAAAAACTGTACAAAATTTGATTGTATTTCCCTGTATTTTAGGCATTCTAAATCTATTTTCAAAGGAAAATGCCATGATTATCAGACTATAAAACAGTTCTTCATGTTGTTTTAACTGAGCTAAGTCTTCAACCAACAAGGGTGACAACACCAAAATCACACCTCAGTGTGGCCAGTTCTTAGGGCAGCTGGGTTTAATTTAAAACCTTGCTGAGAGGCAAGACTAAACACTTCATCTCAAATGTAATTTCCATATAAAAAGGATGTCAAGGATTTTACAGACTTGTAGGTGTGGTTCCAAACTCCAAGGAGCATGAGGCAACCAACAAGTGCAATGGTTTAGGTAATACATGTTTTTGTCAAATATAATTCTTTTTAAAGGAAAAAAAAAAAAAAAGTCAAACACCACAGTCTATGAAAATTTAAAAATGTAGTGTTGCACATTAAGATCTCTTAATATTATTTATGTAACTGCCACTCCCACAGACATCTTTGGAAAACATATAAATGAAACAAACATTCATAAACCAGTAAAGCACTTGACTGTACTACAACAACTTTTCAGGTATTAAAACACACTTTTTCGAGTATTTGTGTAGTTTTTGCAACAGCCATAAAGGAAACCAAGATGAAGAGCAAGGTGCCAGTTGTTTTTTGTGTGTCATACCTGCTACTGTTGCCATAGTTACATTTCCCTGCTGCAATGCTGATGCTGGCACCACGATCCCTTGGGGACTGAGTGTGCCTGCAATGGCACTTGGAATTTGCTAGAAAAAGAAAACAATTAGTTACTTACAATTTTTTAACTTTTTTTTTTTTTTTTTTTTTTTTTTTTCATGTAAGGCGATCAGGCATGCTTGTGTTAGGATTTTCTTCATACCTATACTTGGAAATGCTAAATAAAACAATTAGTTACTTACTATTTTTCAACTTTTTTTTTTTTTTTCTCATGTAAGGAGATCAGGCATGCTTGTGTATTTTTGTGATTTGTTTTGGGTATTTTTGGCTCTAAGATACTTTTGGAGTTTAATCACAGGATTACCTTCAAAGAGAAAGGTACTTCATTAGGGGTTTATCATTACCTGCATTAACTTCCTCATTATCACCAACCATTACCTTTGAAAACCCTCATAAAAGCAACTGCTAGAAAAGATGTGAAACAATTTTGAGAAATTTTAGTTCTAGATATGTAAAGAATAAGAAACAGTTTCCAAAGGCAAGAGTTTTGGAAAAAGGACAAATGAAATGATCCTTGATGCTCTTATTACAAGCATCAAAGCTTTAGAATTTTAGTTATTACTTCAATTCCTTCAATTTGAACATAATGTATTAAATATTCAATATGTTTTATTCTGCTCAAGATAGCTTCTACTCAACCCTGAACATGCAAACTCTTACACATTTACTTAGTATGTATGAATAATCTCTTTTGATAGCAAATGCAAAATGGGTCCCTCATGTATCTACAGCAAACTGTAAGAGATGTACAGAAAAAAACCTTTTAAAAGCTTTTTTGTTGCCTGATTTTATAATCTCCTTTCCACACTTCCAGACATCAAAACCTATGTAAAGAGTCCAGAAAGTGAAGTTAAAAAGTCATTGTGGCTTTTTTTAATACAGAGGATCAGATACATGAGTAATTCAGAGAAAGGCCATGCCCTAAGACTCAGGATCAAGTGGGTACTGGGGTGGCAGGGCTCACTGCAGCATCTGACAGCAAAAACATCAACCATAACCTATTAATTGTGATCCATTTAATACAGAAAATGCAATATTGTAACTTTAATCCATCAGATATTGTCTATTTATTCCAGAATAGAGGTTGTGTATAATATATATTAGTCATCTCGATGTTTTAATGAAGGAGGCAGACTAAGGAAGCCTTAACAAGCAAAATTTTTTTCTTTGTTTATTCTTTTTTTCTAACCTCCTTCCAACTAAATAGCAAATCCAGGCTATTCTGAATATCTCCACTTGCTGAACTGAGAAAATCATAAAAGGAAGACAGATAATAAAAAATTGACTCTGTGCTCTGGCACATTTCAACAAATTTGTCCGTCAGGCAGTGGCACCAAAAAACAAAAAAAAAAGCTTTTTCTACTCTTAATAACTGATTTGAGAGAATACAGGAAACTGCAGAAACTCTGTTTGCAAACTGATAGCAAAAGAAGCATAGCTGTAACTTCCTAAGGCAATCTGAGCAAAAATCCACTGAACAGCATTTGAAACACACCTGAGATTGCACAGGTGAATAAGGACTTCCAGGCTCTCCACTTAATAGAGTTTCACTATTCATTTTTGTCTTCAGGCAGGCAATGTAACGACTACAGAAATCCTTGCAGAGTTCATTAACCTTTTCCAGCTCCAGCAGATGGATACGCAGAACTTGGATTGCTTTTACCATCTGAGGGAGAGAATTGGAAAAAAAAAAATCAGAAACAAAATAACTGTTTGTAAAAAAAAAAAAAAATATTTAATGTGAGATTTAAGCAAACATTGCTTTCCAGTAACAAAGATCACCCAAGATTTAAGCAAACACTGCTTTCCAGTAACAAAGATCACCCAATTAAAGCAGAGGTACTAATTGCTAAATCCTGGAATGTGAAAGGAACACAAGGAAACTGGCACACAGGAGAAACAGAACAGGACACCAAAGTGATCTTTGTCATGTGTGCACTTCAGGAAGACAGAGCAGCTCAGGCGTCACAGGGCACAGGATGAGCCTGGATGTCCATGTGGTCTTTAACCCCTCCTACACCTCTGGGGCACAGACCACACAAGAGTGGAAGTGATGGAAAGCAATCCCATCCCCAGAAAAGGTCTGGAAGGCAGGGCTGGGACAGGCTTGGCCAGCAGCAGTTCTCTGGAGCTCTATAAATCAGAAACAGCAGGTTCAGCTCCACCCTGACACAAGGAAACCAGAAGGGTTTGAGATACAGTGAGAAAGAAGATGCTCCTGTGATTAAGCATCAATTTGTTCCACAGATTGCTAGGGAGGATGAAAGCTTTTATTTTTCAATAAAATTAGAATAAGGAGGTCCCAAATTTAGTCACACAGTAGAACAAAGCTTAAAGTAATCAAACAGTTCTTCAGTGCTACAGCTTTTAAGTTCCTCTGTGATTGTATGTCAAAGATGAACAGCTCTCAGGTAAAATCTTGTAAGAACTTTCACGTGAGGAGACTGATTCTGAAATACAAAACATTAAATACAAAGCACTAAACCAAATTTAAAAAATAATCCATGTTTAAGCTAAAATCCAAGTACAGGAGATATGTATGTGAGGAGAATACTTATCATGCTCACTGTGAGAAAAACACTGTAAGCCTGGATAACCAATGGTATTACATACTGCATGAAAATAGCTTAGGTGATTGTAAGGGTCATGGCAGAAGATCAGAAGCTAAAACCAAATCCAGATGGTCTAACAGCAGCAGGAAATCCAGGACATTCAAATACGTACACAACACACCAGCAAAGTAATTATTTTTAATACCACATGCCATCTCCAACATTTCTGTGCTGAGCTGGATCTCTGAGACAAATATCCTTCAGTTTCATGAAACTGAACAGCTGTAGTTTTAAAGCATAGTGCAGAGCTTGACTTTACAATTATTTGGAAAAATCTGTCCTATATGAGGGGTTATTTACCTGGGCAGGGCATTGAATCCAGTGAACAGAAATTAGACCCTCCAAACTAACTTATTTATTAGTTCCAACTCAAGAAGCCAACTGGCAGCTGAAGATGCCTTTGCTCAAGGCATCCAAAGGACATCAAGGCAAGAAAACTTTTGAGTGTGCTCCCATCTCCATCATGACATTTTAGCTTTCATTGAGACAGATATTTTCCCTGTTTTTTCAGCAAAAGGTTCTAGGACACTCACTCGGTGTAGACAACTGTGTGTTAAAATAAACAAGATGAAAAAAAATTAAGAAATGAAGTAATTTAAAAAAATTTCTTCTCAAGGATAAAAAGAAAAAAAAATTACATCTTTCAAAAAAGAGCTGCAGAAACACCTGAGCTGTTTTTTGAGGGAGTTGACCCAAATGAATATCTGGTAACTCTTTTGACCTATGACACTGAAAGCCTTTGAAACACTGAGTGCAGTGACCCAGCACTGAGACACAAACCAGTGATTTTCTAATCCAGCCCAGGTTGCTTTTTAAACTGTGCTTAAGCACCTTTAAACATAACAAAGTTAAAGCATGCAAATGTAACTAAATTTTAACACAAAACAAAGGTCATTTGTGTTTCAAGAAGTTCTGTCTCTGTTTCAGAGACAAAAAGCTTAAAATAGAAAATTCTTCATGTGCGACTAATCAGCAAATTGCACATCACATTATTGAGTGCTGGAAACATTCAGCTAGAACTGAGGTAACAAAATATGCTTTTGGACACATAATATTTGACCATAATAGAGTAGTTTATTTTTGCTCAGTCAAGAGAGTTGGGTTTTTTTAAACATTAGCCAAATTTGTACTATTTATTTATCAGCATGTGCTTGGAGGAAAAATGAAAGTCCTTTCTTCAACCTAGACTTAGTTTAAAATTGATAGTTGATACTTGAGGTGGAAATTGAATTAAGTCAAAATTAACCACAAACCCAGACTCAGTAACACTACCCAGGTCTCTGCAGGGCCCCTCTCCATCACACTGCTCCTGCAGGAAGCTGTGCTGCTGTGCTTAGGAGGAAAACAAAACTTTGTAAATATGCCATGCCTGTCACCAGGACTTATTAATTCATTTACAGCTACATTAATTGTGGCCATATGGCTCCTACTCTCTTGCAGCACAGGTGGACCAAACTCAATGTCAGCAGAAGTTCACTTTTCCCTTAAAACTACAAAAATCAAGAACTCCAGATAAAATAACTCAAGTTGGACAAAGGTAATACAAAGAATTGTTTTTAGACAGGTCACAGCAGCAGTAATATTTCATACAGTGCTACTGCATAGAATATGCCACAGAAAAATGACATTTTATAACTGATTCAGTCTTTTCAGCTGTAGCAATAAAACTGGAGTATCTCTTCAGAGAAGTGCACGAAGATGAAGTAACCATGAGATTTGTGTATATTCACACAATCCTAGAATGGTTTTGGTTGGAAGGGACCTTAAAGATCATCCCATTCCAACCCCTGCCATGAGCAGGGACACATTGCACTATTGCTGAAATTGCTGTAAGTAAAGGTAAACTATTACAGAAAGAAAAGTTATTGAAAAACTTCCAGTTCTTGCGATCAGGAGCCTATTCATATATAAATATGTCTCCAAATTTAATAAATTTAGGCTATCTTTAGCCTAAATATGCTCTACATTGTACCTGTGTCCTGCCTTCAGTGCCTCAAGGTGCAAAGGCACAGACACAGCACAAACTGCCTCAGTCATGATCCCCAGCTCACCTGTGCTGATGTAAAACACACAGCCACGGCTCCTTAAGGATTTCAGAGCACATCAACTGCACATGTGGGCAACATACATGAAAGAATCTCCATATACTGACAAGTAATTTCACTCAAATGACTCTTCATTTGCAAAGATACCAATTAAAATATATACATACACAGTTTACCTACCTCCCTGACCCAAATCCTCCTGCAGCGATTCAGATTTTCAGTGGAAGAACACAAACTCTGGGAGAAAGGCTATTTTGTTTTCATTTGTTTTGATTTGATAACCTCACTCCTCTATTTTGAGTCCTCAGCTATGAGACATAGCTAGAAAAGGAGTAACTAGAGGTTTATGGGACAGTTCTGCACATTAAAACAGCAAAAACACTTTTCAGAAAGGCTTGGTCAGTCAATATTCAAATGACATCAGCTGGCTTCACCTCTACAACTCAGGCTCCAGACACAACTAAGAATTCAAGAGAATTGAGAAGAGGGTACTGAACCAAAAATCCTTACCCCAAACGAAACAAAAAACTCGGGGGTCTTCAAAAAAGGCAGTGTCCTGTTCAAATACAAAAGGGAGAGTAGATTTAACACCCCTTCTTTTGTATTGTGTCTAGACTTGACAAAGCCATAAGTAACCTGCTCTGACTTCACAGCTGACCCTACTCTGTGCAGGAGGTTGGACACCTGAGCTTGTAGGGCAACCCAAACCATCCTATGGTCCTATGAATGTGGAGAAATTAAAAAATCCACCCATGTGTGGGAAGAGTTTACTCTGAACAGAGAGGCAGGAACCACCCTGAGGCAATGTGGTATTTCTGCAGTGCCTGGGTTAGCAGTGAGCAACAAAAAAGTGTTAAGCATTGAATGTCTTCAAACATAAAATAATCTGAGAAAGGTCTAAAAAAACTCTCTGCAAGCACCCATGCTGAACAACTTCTTAGACATGGAGGAGTCTGTGGATGTCCTGTGCACAAAAGGAGACTGATGGAAACAAAGAGCAGTTGGTTCATTCCAGGATCTGTTTTATCTGTGAAAATGAGGCAGGGATAGCAAAGGGTGAGGGGAAAAGGATGTGGAGCTCCTACAGGTGATACTCCCAGTTATGTAGATAAGCTGAGCACACTTCCAGAAAGCAGCAACAGAGACCACCAAAATCTGGTCATTGACAGCAAACACACATCTGACACTGATACTTGGTAAGAGGACTAAAGGGATGCAAATAACATTCCAAGAAGACACAGAGGAAGTTGAAGCTCTAGGAAAGCACATTTCCAGTCTGTAAGAACACAAGCACAAACTTCAGCTTCTACCTCCTTCACACAGGATTTGAAAACAGGAGATCTGCAGTACAGAACCACAGGGTCATCCCAGAGCACGTGGCCCTGGATTGCACCCAAACCTGGGAAAGACCCTGCAGAAGTAAAAAAGGCCTGGTAACAATTCTCCTGGATTGACTATGGTCCTTTGTCCTGCTGATTCAAGATCACCAGCTGATGTTGGAGAAATCCTTGCTGAAATCCTTTTTAATACTAAAGCAGGAAGCCACCAATTAATTTAGAATGGGAATTATAATACCAAAGTAACAAGATAATCTAGACCATAGCTTACTAAGAGCTACTCAAATTGGAACAAGCACCCACTGCTCTTAATGAACTTCCTTTCTGGTCAAACTGATCTAATGCCTGTGCCACCCAGATTAACATTCTGTGGTCCTCTGGATGAACTCCAAACTCCTCTTGTGGGGTATTCAAGGCACTTCAAGTGAGTGCACAATGTGGAACATTGCCAGGACTGTAAGTGACCCTACAATCACTATCTGTGACCCTTCCTAATTTCTGTTATCTACTTAATTAGCCCACAGGGAGCATGGAGCATGGCATTATATTCTGCTGCTTTGGAGCTGTCAGTTGAAGCCCTGTCACAGAAACTGCAGTCTGACTGAGTTCTACATGCCACATCTCAAAGAGGTAAAAGGAAAAAAAAATGAAACAGCTGACCAATTTCCTTACTGTAATGGGCCTGTGACTCTCAGATAGGATTTGAATTTGGCTCTTTAGTGTTGTGATGCTCAGTTCATCTCAGTTTAGTTCTGGCCCGAGTTGATCCTACTGAGCAAACACTTACACCTTATTTGTTTGACTGCTCACCCTTCTAGCCCAGTCTAATTATCAGTCTTAACAGCTTCTCCTTTCAGATGAATGGTTGAATTAACATTGGAGTTAAAAAGGGAAGGACAGCATGAGCAGATGAAACCAAGGTGCACAATAGTGTTTCTTGCTACTAAAGAGAGACTCTTTATAAAATAAATATATATGTGTGACACGAGGCAGAAAAAAACTGCCTGTCTACAGCCTTCCCTGTGGCAAGCACCAATATTTCAAGCTGAAAAGAGACTGAAAGCCATGCTAGCCAGTTCACAACTTAAGAGAAGCTTGTGCTGACTGCCCCACATCAAATGAAGAGCTGTCAAAACGTCAGCTGTTCAGAGCTCCCAGCCTCCAGGACAGGCAGAGGACAAGCTGCACTCAGGTTTCATTTGGTATCCAGTAACAGAAAGTCACAGCTCACAATATGACTACAGGATTCAATGTTCAATGCCAAGGATTTTTGATTTTGTAATGTGGTTCCAGTTTAAGCCACTACTGACCTCAGCAGCCATGGAATCCAGGACATAAATAATTCCTCACCCACCTCAAGCAAAACCAGCCAGGTTTGTGCAGCCCATCAGCAAAGGAGAACACCACATAATCCAAGAGACTTTGTCACTAGAACCACAAACTGAAACCATAAACAGGTCAATGATGGGAAGGACTATTTGAACACACCAGACCCAGCTACAACCAAAGCAAGCTGGATCTGAAAGAGTGTTTATGTATGACCAAAAAGCACAGGGAACAGGCCAAGGCAAGCAGGATCTTTGGGAAACCAATCTCTGGAGGCTCACAGAAGCCACAGAGTAGCTGAGGCTGGAAGGGACCTCTGGAGATGGCTTAATCCAACCCCCCTGCTCAAAGCAAGGTCAGGTAGGGCAGGTTCCTCAGGGTCATGTCCAGCTGAGTTTGACTGCCTCCAAGGATGGAGACTCCACAACTCTCTGGGCAGCCTGCAGTATTTAATCACCCTCACAGTAAAAAGGTTTAATGGAACCTCCTGTGTTTCACACCCTTTCCTGAGTAAGTTCATGCCCATTTCCTCTTGCCCTGAGGAGTCAGTCTGTCTTTTTGCCCATTAGGACTGTTATGATTTGACAGTCTGAGGGGTGGTAACTGCATTAAGAATCCAAGGTTTTATCTCATTGTGCTGTGGAGGAATTTGGGGGGAGGAGGAGGAATGTTTTGGAAGGTTTTCGTTCTGAGTTCTGTGTCTGTTCCTTTTTACATATTGTAAGTTTTTTCCTTTATTCCTAAGCTGGAGCCTGCTTTGCTCTATTTCTGGTCACATCTTACAGCAGCCACAAGAGAGAATATATTTTCATGGGGGCACTGCCATTGCGCCAGCGTCAAACCATGACAAGGACTTGGTATTTCCCTTTGCTGAATTCCATGAGGTTTCCATTTTTCTGCTTCTCCAAAAGAAATGAAGTACCTCTGAATGGTGGCAGAGCCATGTGTGCATCAGCCCCTCCTCCCAGTTTTGCAACACCTGCAGCCCTGCTGAGGGCTCAGCCTGCCCCATCACCCCAGTCAGCAATGGAAATGTTGAACAGCTCTGGTTTCACAATCAGTCCTTGGAGAACAGCACTTATGGGTAGCCCTCAACTGGACTTCATGCTGCTGACCAGAACCCCTTGAGCCCAGGGGTTCACCCATTTTTGAAGCCACCTCACTGCTCATTTATCTCATCCCTGTCTTGTCAGTTTGTCTATGAGGACATTGTAAGAGAGCTCAAAAGTCAAGACAAACCACAAGCACTGCTCTTTCCTCATTCACTGAGCCACAGCTCCTACATTCCAGCTATCAGACCCCAGATGTGCTTCTGAAATTAGAGAAACATGGATTAGAGAAATATGGGAAAACAGTGATTTTGTGTTGGATTCAGAGAGTTACAAATGAAGAAAATAACCTGAGGCTTAACAAGTCAGTAGACCTGCTTCATGCTGAACAGAGCTAACTCTCATTTTTGAGTAAAATATTGAAGGCAGGTATATTCAAAATAGGGAAATCACAGCTTCATCACAGGAATGACTTTTAGAAAGCCTAAAGGAGTTAATGACGTGAAAGAAAAAATTATATATGGTAAAGACTTTCTAAGACCATCTTATAATAGCTCTTCTCTCACATTAACTAGTTGAGGCATGATTTAAATAAAATTGGAAAAAAATTTACATCAATTACATGTTTTTGATAAATATGTTAAACACCCAACATTCTAAAATTAATTTCCAGAGTCAGTCTGTCTATGGAAAGGATTTGTTTCTGTTTGTCTCTATTACACTCACGTCAGCTGAGAATAGGAAACAACTGTGAAGAGCCCAATGTAAATTTACAGATAAAAGGGAAAAGGAGGTCAGAAGAAATTTAAAAAAAATATTTTTAATCATCAACATAAAGAAGAATCTCTCACAGGCAGAAAAATGTGAGGAGAAACTACAAGGACCACTTGAGATCAGGAATTAGGAAGAAGCTGCAAATGTGATGGTTGTCTCAGAAATGAAAGGAACAGCTAATACTTACTAAATTATCAGTTTCTGAATCTTCACAGAAAAAGGGTTTTCCTTCTTTCTCCTGCTTCCTTACGAAGTTTTCAATATCTACATCAAAACTGGCAGAAGTTGTGCCTTCTGAGCCTTGTGTAGATTGTTCACATTTTTCAAATAATAGTGCTAACAAGGGAAATAGTGGGTGCCTAGAAAAATAAAAAACAGTTTACATACATGAATAAGTATTTTCATTTATGTGAAAATTAAGACATCTAGCTCAGAAAAGCTCACAGTCACTCATGGGAGTGTGACAAGTTCTGGAACAGACTGCATATAACAGCATTGGCTAGAGCAAAATAAGATAAATGCTTATTTTCATTTTGATTTACCCCACTCCAGAGGCCAATATAGCAGTAAAATATGTATATATTTAATTAAAGAGAACAATTGCAAGCAAAAAAGCTCTGACTGTTTAATTCACTGTAATTGAGTGGCACTGAGACAGATTAATACAGTGCACTGGAAATGAGATTTAGGATTTACAAAGAGGATGAATGCAGATTTAAATGAAGCCTGATAAAATTAATTTGTTCTTCAATGTGGGCCACACTTAAACATCATGAAATAACTCTAAAAAATTGAGAAGAATATTCAGGCTGTGCTCAGAGGCCTCTGTGAAATCATGCTCTAAGGAGAAGATTTTGTTAGCACAAGTCTATAAATGAATGGATACATCTTTCTGCCTCAGGTTGAGGTTTTTTTTGGTGTTTTGTTTGGCTTTTTCCTGTTTTGGTGGTTGTTTTGGTTTTTTTTTTTTTTTTTTAACCTGAAAACCAGTAATAATTCTGTCTTTATAAAGCAGTTAAGGTGAAAGAACACTTAACCCCATGAAAACTGAGCAAACTGCTTAGCACAGCACTTTTCACTGAAAAATTTCAAATTAGCGTGCTCATACATCAACATTTAATCCATTTTGAGCTATTTACTGGGGAACAGATTGTTATCCCTAAAGGAAAAGGAATAAAGATTGACCTAATTACAATAAAAGTAAAAACTTGTATCAAAAATAAAAAGAACAATATGACAAATAGTGACCACAGTTTAAAGGCTAAAGCAGCTTTCTAAATTTGGCAACCACCCTTAGAACACCCTTTAAAACTGCTGAAATTGAAAAATCCCACAAGCTCAGGAGGTTTTTCCTTGGCTGATGACTGACAGTGAAGCCTAGTTGGTCTCACTCTTTCCCTATAAACGATGGAGAGAGCCAAGAGATCACCTGACTTTAAGCTAGTTATCATTTATTTATTAAAAACCCCAAATCCTCTACCCTATCCTTCACCCTTCAAAAGACAGAACAGGAGTCCATCACTACCTGTAAATGGCCTGCTTGTCTGCATCCATTGGAGTCTGAGATTCCACGGGGGCAGGACTCACCCCTTCGGCATCAGTTTCAGAGCAGCTGGGATCTTGTTCAGTTTTTAACTCTGTTACCACTTGCATCTGTAGGAAAAAAAAAAGTTAAATTTGTAGCCCTGACGTAAAATAAGGGTGCTGTGTTCTAAGGAAAGAGCAGTGCAAAGGGCTCCTAGATTGCCAGAAGGTTGGTGTGACTTGGCAGTGACACAAGAAGTTGCAGCAGCAACAAAACCCCTCTTTTAATCCCTGACACTTTTTGATGGATAAAGGTCATTTCCAAGTTTTTGCATTTGGCTTTAAAATGGGAATGATAGATATTAGTAAATTGTTGAAGCATTTTGTCTCTGAAGCGGCTGTTTTTGGAATAGCCTACAGTACATTGCTCCAAAAAGTTCATGGGAATGTCTGCATAAAAATCCTTTAGGATGAAATCAATGTAAAGAAAAGTTTATGCACGTAATATTTCTTTTTTATTTTTTACTGTGCATTGTATAAGGGTATTGAAGAAAAGGATCTTCTAAGGTTTTTTTGTCCACTAAAATGCACATTTGCTTTAAAAAATCTGAAATATTCTGTGTCCCTCCAGTCCTTCAATTATAGAAGCATAACCTCCCATGACCTTCCGCGCTCCATTTTACATATTGCAAGAAGCAAGTATTTTAGGGCTATCAAACTACATGAGAACAGCAGCAACTCCTCCTACACATCCATTTAACCCACATTTATACCATGGAAAAGCACCACAGAGCCACAGCTTCACCTGAGCACCTCCTAAATTGCATTAGGAGGCTGGGCACACCTTTAGGGTGCTTTGAAGGTGTTACAGGTGTTTTTTCCATCACCTCCAGCTAAATATCTTTTGGACTAAAAGGTCTTCCAGGAACCTGAACTGTGAAAGTCACAGTTTCCTCCACTCAGCCCAAACTCTTTGGTCTTCTCCCATTTGAGCATCTCCACAAAGACATGAAACCACTGCAATATTTTCTCTTAATTCTCTTTTATCTCAGGTAGAGGACAGACACTGCTCCAGGGATCTCCAGGCACCCAGAACTGACAGCTCCAGAAACTATCAGAGAGCCTGACTTTAACAGAGTTTAATTTATTTCCACATAACACCAGCAGAAAAATGTATACTATTCTTTACAATCTAGGAGAACCAAAAGGTTTGTGATTTATTTCCTAATGGGGCCAAGCCATCTCCTAGAAAAATCAGAAACTGAGAAAATTCAGCATCTCTCACCCAACAGAGCACCCTGCCTTGTAGAGAGCTCCCCCAGCAAGCAGAGATGATTTTCAAGCCAGAATGCTTAAAAAAAAAGGTAACTAATGGACTAATTTCTTGGCTAATGACAGGAAGGAGGAGCAAATTAGAAGGGGATGACTCAGACAAGTGATTATAAATGTTGGCCATATATCTGCAGAGTTTGAAGGGAGGGAGTGTGTTCATTTAGGGTTCTATTGCCCTAGGAGGAGGAAACAGCTCACTTAAAACTGTAAGTTTTTTCCTGTGGGCCATTTCCAAACTAGAAAAACAGCAGGCACCCGAATTACCTGTCTACCTTGGACACTGAGAACTTGAAATACACAACAAATAGGAAGAAAAAGTTCTCCCCCAATCTGTTCTTTAGAAAAAAACATATTTTACTTTCACTGCCACAGGACGGTAGGTATTTGCTGGGGGAATAAAGTCAAATATGTAAAGTAGGTGAGAGGAGAGAGAGAAATTAGAATTGCAATAAAAGAAACAAACAATAAAACTAAAAATCAAAAACCTGACTGCATTCAGATGACCATTTTATAGGAGATGTGGAAAGTTGCTGGTTTTTTTCTGACTGTTCCCCATTGTTGCCATCTGCTGACAGAAGTACTTGCAGCTAAAGCTTAGGGCTAACACAGAGTAACAGAAAAATGGGTCTTGAGAGGAGAGGCCACCTCACAAATTGCCTCCAATTAACAGCATTTTAATTTAGCAACTTGAAGTGTAAAACTACACAGCCTGTTTTACAACAAAGAAACATGACCATATATACCTGACTGTTTCATTATTCCAGCTTAAACAATGTCAAAGCAGGCACTAAGGACAAAGTCACTATTTTTTTTTCCCTCTTCCTAAGTGTATTTAGCTCCTAGAGAAATGAAAACACACCTACCTGTTGTCCATCTTGATAGTTGTCTATACTTAATGTCTGTGTTGCCATCATGGTTATTAAGACATTAATTGTGTCAAATCATCATAAGTGTGAACAAATAGTCTTTAAAGAAAAACAAAATAGTCAGTTAAAAACGTGGCCACTTAGAATTCAGTTCTAAAGGGTGAAGAAAAAAGGCAGAAATTCAGATTTATGCACACCTCTCAGAGAGTTTATTGACAACAATGGTCACATGCCAATTCAAACAACAAATAAATTCAGTTTGGAAATATAACAGGTTTTATAAGCAAAAAGTTCATTGTCTCTTTATATTTTAAAGTAAAACTTTTAGTAAGAGGCTGAGGTTTTTTATACTCACAAGCTCAAGTGAACTTTAGCATTTCTGCACTAGTTAGCTGAAATTCTAAGGTAATACTACACTAGAATTCTAATCCTAATAGAACTAATACTACCTAGATTTCTAATGAAATCTAGAAACAGGCAGTTTTGTGTTTCTGTGTTTTGAAAAGGCTCCCAACCCACTGAGCATCACTGTAACTGAAATAATAATAGTTTAAAATGATGAAGCAAATGCAAAATGCTAAGGAATATTCTGTTCACTTTTGGGTGTGAATCCCAGATTCTAAAGGGCTGAAATTACTTTGAGAGACCAAGCCTCAAATCACTTCCGACATCAGGAATTTGCCATCCAAGTCATTTAAGGTTCAACAAAGAATGGAACAATATCAAACAATTTTTAAACAATTGGGCCCACGTGATTATAAAGTTTCAAAAGGGACCTAGGAATTCAGAACTCTCAATTTCAGAGACATTTGATACTTTGTAAAGTATTAATTACAACAGGATTTAAACACAAGTAAATGCATCATGTTATTCCCTCTAGGCATTAGCTGGAGTTTGGTGCCCAGATGAGTTAAATGTTTTTAAATTAAGACATACCATAATTAAAAAAAAAATAAATTAGCAAAGCACCACCACCAGATAGAGTGTAGCCAACAAATTATTACTTCACATTTCATTTTCTTGTCAGATCTGCAGCCATTACAACTGAAATCACGTAACTCATTAAGCTCTTCCCAGTAACTATTAACACAGAAGTCAATTTTCCTTGACACATCGGAGTTCTAATGTTTAGCTACTGTTAAAAAAAATCCATATTAAAAAAGAAGTCAGAGCTCATGTCTTGAAAAACATTATATCCAGGTAATAATTCCAGGCTTTCTGCTCGTTTTCACTTATGTCAGTATTGAAGAACTAAGTTTTAAAATTTTCACCACTTTAAGATCTGAAACAGAATATTTTTTTTTTTTCAATGTGTTCAATCACTGCAAGTTTTTCAACTATTTTAAGTCCTTCCCTTATTGCATATTGCTACTGCATATGACCATTTTTAAAAGCAATTTTTACATTTCTGGATATTTTCCCCTGCAGATTATAACAGTCTCAAGTGAGTATTTCATTTTGCAAACACAGGACAAATTTCAAGGTTCCCTTCTTTGACAACAGTTTCAGGCACAGAGACAAACTGAACTCCTTGGGAGAAACCTCAAGCCTTACTCTTCATCAAATTCACTCAGTGTAATTCCTAAGTATGAGTGCAATTTTTATAATCTTTTTTTAAACAGCTTCAAAGACCAGAGAAGTTCACTAAGATGATGTAAGCTCGGTTTCCTCTAAAAACCAGGTTATATCTGTTTTTACAGAACATCAGTATTCTTTCTTTGAAACTCCAAAAACACTATTGATTTTTCCACCAAAATTAAAAATACAAAGGGAACAACCTAAGTGCACTCACTGATAGAAGTACTTCAGATTTAAATTTTTTTTTGCAGTTACAAATAATTTAATGTTAAAAGCTAAATCAGCATTTGCCACAGTGAGACACCTCTCAAAATACTTTAAGGGAACACATTCTGAAGCATCAGCCCTGTAAGCATTTGTCTGATGTTTAAACATTTATTTTCTTTCATAAATGGCAGCTGACAGCCAATGCAAGTGCCTGTCTTTATTGACAGAGTGAACAGGCACATAGAAAATGCTGCTTTTCTTCCTCCTCAAAAGACATACATTTAATTTATGACTGTGACATCCAAAGCATGGACCAGACTACCCTCAAAATAAAAGCAGAACAGTTGAAACGATCAACAAAGAAAGAGCAAACACTATTTAATGATTATTTTAAAGCTAAATCCCACAGAAAACACTGCTAAAGAAATTGTTTAACTGTGGGAGAAAGATGAAATTCTTAGGCAAAAATGAGAAAATAAAAGTACCAGTTGTAGAAGAGGAAGAAAGTCTTAAGAGTTCAGAGGGATGTAAGATCATATTTGTGGCATGAAGAAAAACCTGGAGAGGGAGGCCACAAAGATAATACATGTAAATTGGTAAAGACAGTAGGACATGGCAAGAATTTTTGGAGAACAAGACAAGCTGGACTAACCCCTCCTTCGAGATTTCCATAATGAAGAGATGTTCCACATCTGGAAGGCCCTCAGGCCACACAAAAGAAGAAAGGAGGTGCTCAGCTTTGAGCTAGATCCATAGATTATTGCATCTAGAAGGACTTTTGCCACATTTTCTCCCAGGGGAATGACTGGAAAGAATTCTACATGGGTATTTCCTTTATTTCTCACAAGAGCTTCCCCTCTGACTTATAATTACTGTAGAAAAAGATTAAGCTATTAGGCAAGATAGGAACTGATGAGATTTAGTGAAGACAACCACTGCAAATCAAGAAGAACAAATTGAGCTAATCACACTCTTAAACTGAGTCAATTAACTGCGGAATTACTTCTGTTCACTAAAAAGAAACATTTCCTCATTGCTCAGCAGAGACAAGAAACAAACTGTGTTAAACTTTAAGAAAAGTAACTGAGAAGGTATTTACAGATTTGGGTTTCAGGCCCTCATTTGGGAGGCAGGCTGGTTAGCAGGCACAGCCCCAGCAGATGCTCAGGCTGCAGACAGCGATGGGGCTGCTATGGCTCCCAGATGTTCATCACTGCCACAGCTAATTACTTCCACAGCTCCTCCACCGAGCTCACACAACACGTGGATGGTTTCTGATCCTTTTTACACCGAGTCAGCCAGGCTGGTTCAGGCCTCTCCCTGCTGAAGGTGGCTGTGATGGAAAGCAGCTGACGTGGTCTGAAGCGGTTGTGGTGCACTCAAACAAGCCCTGCTCTTGGCTGACCTACTCGTGGGTGTCCATTCTCAGCTCACAGACCATCCCCAACCAGCACACTCTACCTCAGGACACAGTGTTTGGGTATCTGAGGTGAACCCAAGAATATATGACTTCTGGACATCTTAGCTTTCCAAATGCCAATTATTCTCTGTGAAAGAAATTGAGAGCAGAGGGAAAAGTGTGTTTTTGTTTTATATTCAAAGACTTACAAACAACAGAAATAACCTGAGGGTGAGTCTGCTGGTCTGCTTCACACAGAACAGAACTAACTCTCATTCTATTTATTTTGAAAGTAAAGTGTGTAGAAAACCCAAGGAAAAACTTAAGGTCATGTAACTGGAAGCTGATGCATGACCTGCAATCAGAAACTCCACTGATACCTGTGGCGAAAGGGAGTTCATAAAAGAGCATGGTCTACAAAGCAAAGGGAAAAAAAAAAAAAAAAAAAAAAAGAAGCTTTTTATAAAATGAGGAACGAAGGAAAATGTAAAGCAGAAAGAAAGCTAAATGAAGAGGGGCAATCATAATTAGAATGTGGAGAGCTTGTGCAAGTTGAGTATGTAAGAGAAGAGATTAAATGTGAGCTGAAACATACACACAAAGTGATCACTTAACATTCATCACTCCACTCCTTGCTTGTTCCACTTACTCCTTCATAATTAAGGGCACAGGGACCACCCAGTAACGTTAACAGAAGGTACAAGTGAGCTGCTGGAGATCAGTGGTATCATTTTTAACATATACAAGCTACAACAGATGTTTGTAAGAGATATAAATAGTTACGCTTCAGGCTACGACCGAACCACCAACTCTCTTAGGGTTGTGAAGGAACTACCCAACAGACTTGTTAACAAGTAATCATTCCTTCTAATTTTCCCTCATACATGTTTCTTTGAAGTCCTTCAGAGAGAAATGCATGACTGGCAGATTCAGCATGGCTCTTTGTTCATGCTCATTTAACTTTAGTCCTGGCACTTGCTATGTAACATTAGATCCTTACATTCACACAGCCAGTTAAAAAGAAACAAAAATCAATTCTCTTTGACACATGAAAAGCAACTAGAACAGGCTTTCTTTTCAAAACAATACAGGATGATATTTATTTCCAGGGCATGCTGTTTTCTAAAGAAGATAAAATATTGGCCATGAGAAAGCTGCTCACCCCTTTCCTTCAATGAGTTGAAGACATTATCTTGTTCCAGCACAGAGATCTCACTTATGTACAAGGGGGAAGACAGAAACCTAAAAACCAAAAGAGAAACAGTCAGAAGAAAATAACACCTTAGAACAAACATTCTAAGACTCAATATAATTTTTAAAAATTTGTTTTATTATGTGGTTCCCTCATCAAGTGTTAATGAACAGACAGGAATTTTTTTGCACGTTTTGCAAATTTTTGCATTGTTAATAATCTCTAATCACACCCATTATCCCACGCTTGAACTTCTTATCACATTATTTGATCTTTCTCTCATCTTATTCCATTCATTCTCTACATTCACCTTTGTCTCTGTTGACACCTCTAGCAGAAGGCTCCATTTGGATAATAACTCCCTCCCTGTTAAACCTTCATATTTTACTCCTTGGCTCAGTGTTTGTCTGCCAAGAGTAGACAAGACACATCCCAAAAATAGAACCTTGAAATGCAAATAGAAGTAACTCACCCCTGCTGTGAAAATTAAGCATGAAATCAAGAAAGGTGAGAGATATTTTTTCCCCCATTTAAATCTCCTTCATAATAATTTGAATACAATCCATGGTAAAATCAAAGCATGATGCTAGAAATGGGCCATTGTTAGGATCCTGTCTTCTGTGAAGACAGGTTCTGCTACAGGATTATTTGGCCATTTTAAAAAGCTTTCCAAAAATTACCACTTAAAATTACTTTAATTGCATTTAATAGCACCCATTTGATACAGTGAAGCTACTTTTAAAAAGCGGTAAGGATTGTGAAAGCACAGTAGCAAAGATCCTGAAAACATACTCAGAAAACACAACTGCTGAAAAGCATTAAGAAACCATCTCAGGAGACGTTCCAGACACTAAGGTTGCACAGAGGCCACCAGAAATTAAATGATGGCTAAAACACAGCTGAGATCTTGAATCTGATTATCTCTGTTTCTCACACAGATAAAGTTCACAATAAGAACTAGAGAGAAAGTAACTCCAACATTTTTGAAAGCAAGATGAAATTGGTGTTTGAATTGATCTTTAAATCAATTAAAATTTATGCACGTATTGTTTTCCACGAAGTGATGGTTTTCAGACAAGTTCACAGAAAAAAAAAAGTCAAGAGCCACTCAATCTAGATGCCATCTCTGGCTCATGAAACCTGGTTCTAAACAGGGAAGGGAAGGTACTTGAGGAGTTTTAAGGCAGTTTAAATTTCAGCCATTGGTTAGAGACTGAACACTGAGCAAGAAAGAGTTTCAGCCCAAAGTGATACACCTGGTCTTGAAGGTTCAAGAAGCAGATGGCACATTAAAAGTTCTTACCACTTCTCCTTAAACTGTCAAAGATTTATATCTTCAGAAAATGGGATTCTCTCATTTTTGCAGCTTCTTAATTCTGTTCTGAGGACAGTGTAACCCTCTTGCTCCCTTCTTCAAATGCCATGCATTTTGGTACTCATTCTCACTTCAATTTACTGGGCTACTTTCAAATACAAGACTTCTCACTATTCATGGCATCTTCAGAACAGAGGTCACTGACAGATAAATCAGGATAGATAAATAGATGAATTATCCATTCTGTGTCTCTGCTCAGACATAAGGAGGACTATTGCAAACTTGAAAATCCTGCTCCTGCATTCAGAAATAACTGCAGCCAAGAACTGATGGGGCCACTGCTGCCAGATCTGGTCAGTCAAATATTCACTGTATGAAGAAGTAGCGCTTGCCTGCAAAGCCCTCAGCTGAAACTCTGGAAAAAGCAAATTTCTAGGCAGCTTATGAGATATCCAGAGCAGGAACAAAGAGGTGCTAAAGAAATGCAGGCCTGGGTGAAAGATGCTGCAGAGGGAAGGATGTGGCTGAGAAGGAGCCAGAGCATGTTGCAGTGATATTGCTCTCTTCAAAGAGACACTGGACAACACCTAATACTGCTGAACCCTAAAACACAACAGGCAAGAGAGATCTGAGCTTCCAGATGACGATGTCTTCTTGCACATTTCAGTGGGAGAAGGAAGAGGGAGCAGATACACCTGTCACAGGGTGGAGACAACACCCAGGCACTGTGGAGTCTTAACCTGGACTTGCTATTGCCAGTTTTTGTTTCCTTTAATTCCTCTGGCAGACAAGCTTGAAAGTAACGCCATCATTATAAAAATACCTAACTATGAAACCAAAACAAAGGGCAACTTGCTTTGTCTCTCAGAAAGTGAATCAGCACCGAGGTTTTAACTACAAAGTAAAATAGGAACTTGTTCATTCAAGCACTGAGGAGCCCTCGTTTGAGTCATCCTCTCATTCTGCATTTCACAGCACAGGAAGCAAAGACCTGTGACATTCACATGCACAAATACGAGCAGACATTAAGATCCATGTGTTTTTATAGATTCAAATAATGATAGTAATAATTGATTCAAATAATGAAGCAGTAAGTAGAGCACACATGCCAACATCCAGGATTCATTCCACCTTTGCTGCAGCTCACTTCCATCTTCACTCACCTGCCCACGTAGAGTCATTCACAGAAATTAAGACAAACAAATCAATATGAAGTTGATGCAGACAAGTTTATTAAAACTGTTCTCCTCATTAAGCACCAAGGTGGTTTCCATTTCCTCTGTCTCATGTACTAAAAAAGTACAGTCATTATTTAGAATATTATACTTTTAAGAAAGACAATGTTCCTGCTCAGGACCATAATACCAGCCTCAGGGAGTTCCATCACACAGATGCAGCCACTCAGTTACTCTCCAACAGCTATGCTGCCAATTGCCCTGGGAGTCAAGCCCTAAAAAGCCACAAAACCAATTTTGGGTTGCAGTAAAATGAGATTTATTTTGTGTCACTTTGTTCCCTTTATTGTTTGGTGGTGCAATAGAGTTATTTATATGTTAATCTTGATGAATATGAAATTACATTAAAAAAATGAATGCAAATTATACTTTAAGAAATGGAAAATTAAAAATAAATTAAAATCCACAACTAAAGTTGAATTTCTGCAGAAACACAGGCTACACTCCAAGCTACCATCAACCTTTCTTTACATGTAAGATTTTGAACAGAGATGCTATGTAATAGTGACTTTATTCAGCAAGGCCTCTCCAACAGTGTATCTACTGCTTTGTTGTCCCGATAATCTTTCCTAGCATCCCCTTTTCATATCCCTCCATCTCAGACCTTAACAATTCATCCAAAGCATTCATACCTCAGGCCACCTCCCAAGCACCACCACACACTGTCACAGAGCATGACCAACACCAAACCATCTCATTACAAGGTTTGTGTTCCTTTAGCAACTCACTCTTTGTTTAAACTCTGCTTTTGGTACATTTAATTCTATAAATTCTCCTACTTGCAAGTACCAAATTAAAAAAAATTAAAAATGTGCCACTTTATAAGCTAAAACTGCATATGCTGTTAACTGATAAAATGAATATTAAGGATGCATAGATCATAGGAATTTCTCCAGGCACAACAACAGAAATAAAACTGAGGGGATCTTGGTCTTATGAAGAACTCCAGCTCCTGATTCTGCACACATCCTTGGTGTGTACACCAGCATATTTCTAGGGAAAGGTGCAAAATCATGGGCCACATTCCTGATTCCATGTCATCCCAATTTACCACAGTCCTTCTTAACAAGGATGAGAAAAATGAGGAATTCTAGCCAATCCTGTCATAAAATGATGTATGCCAGGTATCCTGCCCCCAGGTAGCTCTTGGAATTCTGGAAGGGAATCCTCAGGTTGTTCTCCTATCTTCTGAAAAATAATCCTCATTCTTCTGACTATGGAAAGATCCTCAAATTCAAGGAACTTCCTGCAGCATCTCATTTCTCCTTACCCAATTTACACTGTAATTTGACCCTGCTTTATTAGCCCCATAAAGTAATAGTAAAGAATTTAGGGGACTAAACAGCAATTTTGGCAAGAACAAAAACCTGGGGGAAAGGAAACCTCCCTCTTTAATTGTTCCAAAACTCTTGAGGGATTAGGGTATGAGGGAGCAAAAATATTTCCCATCACTCTCTCATCCACCACCAATATTCACATAATAAATGAAGATTCCTCTTTTTTTCTGTATTCTTAAGACCACAAACAGAAGGACTTGATGGGTCGAGCATGAGAATCCTCACACACACATCAAGAATCCTCACACATATTTATTGTTACAGGGCAGAGAAGGAGTTTTTGCCCTCAGTTTTTACCCAATGTGCTTTCATAACATGTTGGACTCAAAAATCAGGAAGATGCTGTCACATCTGCCTTGCTGCTGTGGCAAGAGGGTGGCATTGGAAAGACTCCAAGCACTCCTTACATCCCAGAGGATGTGTATCAGCACTTCCACAGCTGGAACTGATCCTGTACAACTCCTGCTCACTTGATATTTAATTACTTTTTCAAATCAAATTTCATTAAAAAAAAAAAAGACAAAAAAAAAAACCAAAAAACCCTCAATAAACAGAAAAGGGAAAAAAAAAGTGAGAACTCCACCACTCTCACCATTTCTCTGGCATTCCCCACATGGATAAACAGGATTGCTGATGTCCCAGACACAAATCCATCCCTCTGCCACTGAAGCCTTTGGAATATACACACGAGTACATCTCAAATGTCTTCATTTTGGAGATACTCATGCAACCATCTCCTTCCAGGCAAATTAAACAAAAGCAACAGGAAATCCAATTTTAATCATGATTTGCATCAGCACCCAATAAACTATGACTGAAATGAATCTTGTTTTGTGTTTATACTTTGTGGTTTCATAAGGAAGACACAGAATAACCACCAGTCTCTCTGCCTTTATTGCCATTGAATACTTTACAATGTGAGCAGTTTGTGTAAGCATATGTTATGTTTTTCAACCTTCTTATTATAAAACCATAAAAGTTTCCAATTATTCTATGAAGGGGTGAATTCCTGATGCTACTGAAGTACAGTTGAAGGGTGAATAGTTGTTTTTATTTAAATAATAAATGCATTTAAAATGGACTTTGGATGTTGAATGGATAAGAAAATGTCTTCTACACATTTTTGGCATTTAAACAACTCATCAAGATCAGGATGTTCCCTTACCAATTATTTAATTTTTATATCTTTAATGATTTCTGGAATAACAACGCCATTAATGAATCAAGCATTAACCTGGACCTGAAAGTGACACACAAAAAACTGTAAGTGACAGAAAATCCAGGTCCTGCAACCCTCTGTGAAATCCAATTCCAATCCATCACTAACTTTTCCAGAATCTTCCCAGAATGTTCTGACTCCAACATTTGGTAAAATAACAACTAACTTTGTTTTGCTACTAAGTTTAGGTCTTAAAATGAACTGTTATTTATTTTTTTTTTAATGAGGATGAAATAAAAACTCTTCCTTTCCTGCTCCACTCTTGCTTCCCACCTCTCCCAAACACAAGTCTCCATCATCCCAAGAGTTATGACTGCTGCCTAAGTGTTCTGGGGTAAAAAAGACTATTTAGGATTAAACTTACCCATCACCTACTGCTGTGAGCAGCATCAGGCTGAACTGCTTGGTCCAGGTGATGCCTGCCCAGGCAGGTGACATGCAAGGACCAACAGACAGGAAGACACTCACAGAATATTCAGGTAATTTAGGTAATAAATATTTGCCCAGTACTATATAAAGCAGTTTTTCCAAGAGGTTTTGGTCTGTTGAAGGTTCTCAAAGAACATGCTCCATGTGAATTCTTATGATCCTTTCCCCTCTACAACACTAAAATCCACAACTCAACTGCTGATATGCTCTTAAGTAAGAAGAATCCTGCCTTTCTCATAAATTAACATATTTACTTAGAGTCATTCTCAAGATGCTGAGTCATTTTTAAGTTGGCAGAATAACCCTGCTCAAACATATTCATCATGGCAAATTTCAGTTGGACTAAGAATTAAGCTACTGAAATTAACACCCCAAAATAATAATAATAATAAAGATAACCAGGTAATCTTCCTTCTGGTATTGCTACTATCATAGCCTAGACCACATAAAAATTGGGTAGAAAACATAAATTAAGTGATCACAGACTGACCCAGAAGTTCTTTAGTTACAAAATCATACAACACAGCACACACATTTTCATTCCTCTGTTCTCTAGGCATGTCAAAAACGTATAAAGATCCAATTTCTGTTCTCTAATTGCCTCCGTTTCCTTGGAATATAAAAGGCTTGGACTTTATTTTTCAGCAAGTATGATAATATCCTTTTCCCTTTGCTTTGTTTGCTGTGTAACTCATAAAAAGCCAAGCAGGATGTGAAGTATAGCCACACTTCCTAGCTTCTTCTGCCATCAAGAAAAAACACAGGCAATTCCAAAACCTCGCTATTAAAATGAAAATTGAAATTTGGAGGTTTAAAAGAAATGGATCCCTTTTTCAGTATACCAGAAGTAAGCTGTCATATTCTACTTTTTGCTTGAATTTCCCATCAGCTGCAGAAGAGAGCTGCAGATCCCTGGGCACAGCAGGTGAGGGACAGTCTGTGATCATCACACTCAGCTCCCATTTTCAAAAATCACCTTTTGACTCTCTGTGTACTTAAACAGCCCTCAGGTTTAACAGCAAATACCTCTTTTGTACATTTAGATATTAAAAAATGAGAACACCACGGCCTGGAGCAGCTGCCACATCAAACCCCAAACAATGTGTTCCTGTGAAGGATGAGAACCAACCATGCCAGAACAAGATCTGAATTTTATTTCCCTTTCTAGCACCAACGTTTGCCTCCCAGTGCCATACATGATGTGGGATCCCCTCCTTGCTGGCAGGGGAACCAAGTTACTGCCCTTCAGCAGCTTCACAAAAATGTGCCACAGCTCTGTAACAACAAAACTGACATTTCCAAATCCATAGTTTTTATTTATTATTTTCCACCCCACCCCTGATCTACCTGATGAATCCCATGTTCCACAGTTCTGGCATGAAACCACCTCAGTGAACAAAGTGAAGAACCTGCTTAAGTGTGAATATTTCACCGTTCAACTCCCTTGGGGAGATCTAAAATGGTCTGGGTAAAAGATTTTGGCAACATCTGGCATCAAGTAAGCAAATGAAAGAACTCCATCAGCAACTTTTTCTCCTTGCTCTTGGAATCCTCTTGCTTAGAAGAGCAGTAAGTTGTTTTACATTTTGTACAGCACTGAGCTGCAGCAAAATAAACCCCTCTGAGAATTCTCATTTTTAAACTTACAGACTCTTTGAACAAGTGAGAAGTGAAGTAACCAGCTGTTGCAAGAGAGAGAGAGAAGTAACATTTGCAACATTTTTAATTTCACACAAAAAAACCTGCATTTGGTCTTACTTAGACCAAAATAAAAATATTAATCTGCTTTACTGTAAGCTTTCACATATGTGCCAGTTTTGCAGAGGCAACATTTGGCTGCCAGACCACGACATAATATTCTGAAATACAATTTGGACTGCTCCACTCAGGACATTAACAGGGCCATTAGAACAGGCAGTTCCACTGCCACAGTGGTGGCTCTGTGATCATTCACCCTCGGCCACTAACCCAGGGTTTCACTGCACCAAAGAGTCACTCTTCTCCAGGGAACTGAACTGCTCCTGAACATTCCCAAACTTGCTGTGGTAGCAAGCAGAATTATCAGGGCTTTATTAGAGCGCTGCACTTACAGCACAGAAAAATACAGTTGGAAAGCAAAATTCTTTTAGAAAGAAGAAATTACAGCTTCCAGAAGACTAAAGCATTTAAAATAAATTAAATTTATATTTCATTCATTCTAAACTCCTTTCAGTCCTATAATGGAAGATTGCAAGGATTTAGCTTTAAAATATTATTTTTATTTAACCCAAATATTACAAATTGTATTAAGAATACAAATCAAAGCTGTAAGTACTTAATACCAGCTTGACTTTCTACATGCCAAAGTGAAATTTCCGAATATAAAACAAAATCCCACCTACCCTAACAACAGTGTATCAAAATGTGAAGAATTCTTGGGTTTTCTATCAGCACATGGGAAACAGTAACAAGAAAAAATTTCAGCCCAGTAAAACACATAAACATAGATTTAAAAAAAAAAAAAAAGCACGGCCAAAATCCACTGGGGAGATCAATGAGAAATCATCTGAGCCTCCAAAATCTCAGTGCAGCACAACAGCTCCCACTTTACCTGTGACTGCAGCACCCTGAGCTCTGCCTTTCACCACTGAACTGGAGATTATGTAAAGAAAACACAGTAAAACCTACACTGAAGTTTTCCTGTGGACACTTTAATTATGAGATGACAAGAAAATATGTCAAGTGGTGACAGTCAAAATAAATATACTGTACAGTTCATAAACTGAAGACAGAACATACATGAGAAAAATAATGAGAATTATTTTGAATAGATTATGTGAAATGTTTGGGGGATTTTTTCCCTTCAAAAATTTTTGAAAATTTGAACGTAATTATTGTGTGATTATACACAGACTCAGAAAGGGATAAATCTGCAATTTTACTTGACAGAAAATGTACTCAGAATGCATTTGCTGTTGCTTGATACTGCAGCAATGACACAGTCTGGAAATACACGTCAGGATGGATTTCTGATACAATCACAACACCTTGTTTCCTGGTTCAGTGTAATCCATAAAACTCACACATGCAGCTAACAGGGGCTGACCAGGGCTCCATCCAGCTGCAGAAGCCATCTCACTCCAACCACACAGACACACAGACAGAGCCACAGGGATGTAACCCCACAGCACAGGCAGCCCACGAACTGATTACACCCCACAGAGGACAGGGAACAACCCCTGAGTGTGTGCACAGTATGGGGAACAGCAGGACATGTGGCTATCCTAAGCCACACTTGTTACAATTCTCCTCATTAAACAATCTATACTAATGAAATTTTGTGCAAGAGCACGCTCAAGAATAAAATTAGGAACTAATTAGTGTGCACTTTTTTGTAAAAACTAAGAAAGTACTTTTTTTTTTTAGTTTAAAAAATTAAATCCTCTTCTTTTTTTTTTTTTTTTTTTTTTTTTTAGTTTAAAAAATTAAACTGGATATTAGCGTACTTTGAGAGTGACCTACAGCATCTTGCTTTCCTCCACAGGATTTTGGCCCAAGTGTTTTCCAACATCCAGAACATAATGCCCATGTTCCCTGCTCCTGGGATCTGCTTAATGGAATGCACACAACCTATTCCAAAGAGGGGCAAAAACAAAAAAAATCAATCTTGCCTGGGCAGCTCTTAAGTGCAAGTGTTAAAAAAAAAAAAAAAGCCAACAAACCACCAATTCATTCACTTTTAAGGGTTTCATACCAGATATAGTGTCTTGCATTAGGAATAAATTATTTACTGCCCCATCCCTGGAAGTGTCCAAAGTCAGGTTGGACACTGGGGCTTGGAGCAACCTGGGACAGTGAAAGGTGTCCCTGCCCATGGCAGAGGAGTGGAACAAGATGAGCTTTTAGGTCTCTTCCAACCCAAACCATTCTGGGATTCTCTCTCCCTAATCCACACCAGTCATTTACTCAAGACAAAACTGCAAGAAGGGACTAAATGGAATGCACACAACCTATTCCAAAGAGGGGCAAAAACAAAAAAAATCAATCTTGCCTGGGCAGCTCTTAAGTGCATGTTTTTAAAAAAAAAAAAAAAGCCAACAAACCACCAATTCATTCACTTTTAAGGGTTTCATACCAGATATAGTGTCTTGCATTAGGAATAAATTATTTACTGCCCCATCCCTGGAAGTGTCCAAAGTCAGGTTGGACACTGGGGCTTGGAGCAACCTGGGACAGTGAAAGGTGTCCCTGCCCATGGCAGAGGGGTGGAACAAGATGAGCTTTTAGGTCTCTTCCAACCCAAACCATTCTGGGATTCTCTCTCCCTAATCCACACCAGTCATTTACTCAAGACAAAACTGCAAGAAGGGACTAAAAACTTCAGCAGCAGTAGATTAAAAAATAAGTAAATACTGTGACCCGTCTCTAAAATTACACTATATATCACTATTTAAGACTAAAGAAAATATTTAATAAACTATAATTTTAAAAATAGCAATTAGCTACACAGAGAATTATCACACAAACGTGTTAACTTCTCATATTGTCATATTGTTAATCGACCAACTCCGGCGTGGTGGGAGCGAAGGAAAGCCATGGGCTGCTCCATGACACCTGGGACATGTGGCTCACTGAGGCAATACTTGGGGATAAAACCAGCTCTTGATTTATTATTGTTTACACACATCCCCAGCAGGGCCTCTGGGCAGTGTCAAGTCTCAGCTCCTAATTGCGGCCGCGTAAACACCCGGCAACCCTCGGCCTGGCTGTCGGGAAGGTGTCCGCTCCCAAGGCAGCCGCGAGAGCGCGGGGTCACGGCGAAAAGGAGACAGAAACGAGGGAGAAACCCAAACGGGCTCCGCGCACACCGCGCCGGCCGGGCTCCGCTTTCTATGAACGCGGCAGGCGGGGGGAGCATCCCCAAAGCGGGGCACATCCCCCAAAACGGGGAATATCCCCCAAAACGGGGCACATCCCCCAAAGCGGGGCGCATCCCCCAAAGCGGGGCGCAACCCCTAAAAGCGGGGAGCATCCCCCAAAACGGGGAATATCCCGCAAAAGCGGGGCACATCCCCGCCTGCCCTTCCCGCGCTCCCCCCCGGGCCAGGGCAGGTGTGCAGGGGGAGCGGGATCACGGCAGGGAGAGAAGGAAAGCGGGGAGCAGCTGCCGCGGCGGTGCCAGCCCGCCCTGCGGCCCCCGGAGCGCCCCCCGTTTCCCCCCCGCCGCCTCCGAGGAGCGGCCAGCACGGCGCTGCCCCTTTAAGCATCGCGTCGCCTCCTCTCCTTCCCTCCCTCCCTCCTTTCCCCCCCCCATCCCATCGCCCCCATCTCCTTCCTCCTCCTCCTCTTCCTCCTCCTCCGCGCGGACCCGCGCGCGCTCCCGCGTCCCCTCCCCGCGCGCGCCCCCGCCGGGACACAACGGGCGCACGGCGGCCGTTCCAGAACCTTCCTCGCTTCGCTCCCCCCCCCACCCCTCCCCGCTTTTCCCCTCCTTCCCCTCCCCGCGCCCGCCACCGCCCCTTAAACCCCCCGGTCCGTGCGAGCGGCGGCGGAGAGCGGGTGCCCCTTTCTCCCCTCGCCGCCGCCGCCGCCCCGCTCGCCCCTTCCCCAGCCGCTCTGCCGCTTCCCCGGTGCGGCCGTGCCCGGGCGGCGGGCGCGCCGTGATGGACGGCGGGGCTGGAGCGGGGTTTGAGTGACAGCGCTTACCTCGGGTGCCAATCTTCGTCACACTGACAAGCGGCTGCAGCAATCGGGACCCGCACCGCCGCCGCGCGCGTCACCGCGCGCCGCCGCGCCCGGCCAATCACCGCCCGCGCCGCCCCCGACGCCACGGCGCGCCTCATCAATATTCATCGCCCGGGGGCGGGGCTTGGGTGCACCGCCCCTCCGCATTGGGGCCGCCCGTCTCTTCCTCATGAATATGGATGAAGGGCGGGGAAAGCCGTGAGGGTGAGGCCACGCCCCTGCCGTGTGTGAGGCGGGGGGGGGGAAACCACTGCTGGGGGTGGGGGGAGGAGGGCGGTACCAAGTGGCTCCGCCGTGAGGGGAGAGGCGGCGGCCGCTGTGGCGGGTTCGTGCCGCGTTCCCTCGGGCAGCGCTGGATGCTCGCCCTGGGGTCACCTCAGGGCGCTGCTCCCGGGCTTGGGGGAGTCCCTTGCCTCGGCTGTTGGAGCTGCGAGCCCCCGCGCCTTGTGGGGTGCCCCCGGGAGCCGCCCGGGGCGGGCGGGGGTCGCCCCTGGGAGTCCCGAGTGCAGAAGCCGCGCTGGAGGCTCCTCACAGGCTGTGCCAGGAGCTTCTCCTCCGGCCTGCGTGGGGTGAAACTGCCCGGCTGAGCCTTGTCACCCTTCCAGCCCCAAAGCTGCGCACCCTCGTTCTCCCCAAAGCCCCGAAGAGCGGGACCGGAGTGAGGGCGGACCTGCGCTGTCCCTCAGGGTCCTGCCCACTGCTCGGCTCCTGCCGTGCCCAGAAGTAAAGATGCTGACCACACACGGGTTTTTTCCTACCGAAACTCCGCTTGGGAGGAAGCAGTGCTGTCACAGCTTCTTCCCCCATGAGTTACCGCTGTTAAATATTCCCCCTTTTCCACAACCATTCCTATATAAGTGTCAGGAACGCGGTTTCAGGCGGGTGCCCTATGGCTTGGCCGTTTTGCTGTTGGGATATTTAAAAAGTGACTGCTGTGCAAAAGGGCTGGAATGCCTTTGAGTCATGCGTGTCACAGGTGATGGATCTGTCATCTCCACCTTGTTCCTCATTCTCAAGGCTTCTGAAAGATCATCCCCACATCACCTCGCTGGCTTTGCGAGCAGAGGTTTGCAAGGGGACGAAGAAAGTGACACATAAAAAGCAAATCTCATTTTAGGAAGCTCAGTTTAAACCCAAAGCAGTTTTCTTTCAGGTCCCTCTGCAAAGCCACCACTGGGAATCTACTTGATTATCCTGTTCCCATTAAACTGGGAATACCCTCCATTTTTTCATGGTCCATGTCTCTCTCCCTGGTTTAACAGTAGCAAGTCAACTATTTTTTTGTTGTTGTTGTTGTTTGGGGTTTTTTTGGTGGGTTTTTTTTGGTTTTTTTTTTTTGGTTTTACATACCACTTTCGTGGGCCAGGCCACTTTTTAAAGATCTGGCTAATACTTTGGCAATAGAAACAGCTACTTAAATGTTCCTGCGAGCCAGGTCTGCCCTCAGTCCTCTGCGCGTCACTGCTGTGTCAAGACCCTGCTCTGCCAACACAGTTGCTTCAGGAATCTTGTCACCCTGTCCACACTGCCACCATTTGTCCACTGACAAAACAGTTGCTCCATCCCCTTGCCAGACCGCCTGGAGCCTTCTCAGGGGTTCCTTTCCCATTGCCATTTTCCTCTGTACATTCAGAGCCACATGGACATCGGCCTTGTGAGCAGAGAGGGAACTTCTACAGCAAGCAGAGAGGGTGGAACTGAGCTGTGCTAATCCAGGGCGCTCAGATGGGTAAATCATGGCTCACTGTTAATGGGAATGATTTATTTAAACAAGATTAGGAAAAAAACCCCAAAACCCAACCAAATCTTAGTTTCTCTCATTCACAAGAGAATCTCGGCTTCCGCTCTTGTGCTGTGTAACAACACCTCTCATGCAGTTCCTGTGGCCAGGTTGGCTGCTTCTTCCACGAGTTTCAGCTCTCATTATCCCTGACACATTCATTAGTGACACATTCACTAAACAGTGCTTAAAATTAACTGCTTCCCATGTCCAGACCTGCCTCTTCTTCAAATTTGATTCTCCCTGCAACCCCTTTGTTCTCCTTCTGCCTCGCCTGCACTTCTTTGGATGGGAGTTCACTGATTTCTTCTGAGAACGAACAGATTAAATTAAAACTAATTTAGTTTCTGTTTAAGCTCTCCTCCCAGTGATCTTCAAAGCCTTTCTTGATGCCTTTCCCAACTTGAATTTTCCTTTCTCCTCCTGCTTCCCTTTGCTTTTCCTTCCCTTCCTGGCTGCCACTTTCTATTCCTGAGCTCCCCCCTCATGCACAACAGGTGTGGAAAATCCTCATCTGCTGTTTCCCCATCACCCCAGTAATCCCATATTTTGGTTGCCTTTGTAGTTAAAGTTACTCCATCCATTACTCTCCTCAGCCTCTTACTCTTTTTGCAATTTCAGTAGATGTTTTAACTCCCTTGAAATTAAAGCTTGTTATCAGAATGAAGAAAGTCTGGTTCCCCACACATCTGTACCTCGTGGTTTGTTAACCTCAGGGTGTAAGATGCAAGTTTTAACTGAAATCTCTTCCAAAGTTTTATTTAAGATTTCTCTTTAGCCAGTGCATGCTGTTGCCCAAAAGTTCTTGTGCAGATTTTCCATGATTCAGGGAGAACATGATACATCCTCCCTGCTCCACAACTTATTTTCATGAAAGTCACAGGAACTAAATTATTCTGTCAACTTTAATTCTGTCTGGAGTAAGCCAGTAGATTCAAACATTATTAAATAACAGGGATACACCCGCAGATATACCTCTGCCTACGTGACATGACCACATAAACCTCATTCCCACAAGAAAATAACCTAAAAATCATTCCTGATCAAACTTGTGACTTCCAGCTCACTGAAAGCTCTGATCCCACTCACTGTCAAGAGGTCCCTGCTTTTCAATTTGTCTTCAGTCATCTCTGATACAGCTTCTGCAGGTTTAATTTTTAAAGCTTAACCTAAATTTTTAAAATATCACAGCTGAAATGGCTCCAGGAGATGAAGATTTAAGAAAAGCTCTAAAATTTACAAGACCCTTGAGAGAAGCTGAAAACTTGGAGAAAAGGAGCAGCACGGGAAAAAGAATGAAGAAGTAATTGAGATGAGTGATCCAAAGGCAAACAACA